TTAGCTAACGTGTGCTGAAATAGCTGCTTTGCGTCGTGACTCCTCTAGACAGTAATGTCCCGAGTAGTAACCACTGGAAAAGCTGATGAAGCAACAAGTGTGGTATGTGTTTATTTCCAAAGGGTATTTCTCTGCAGGCAGTCAAATCATCGGTGATGACAACATGACAATGAATGTTTTTCGTCTTTCTGGCCCCTTCCATTTTCTTCCCACCTTTCCACTCACCATGTTGTCCCTTTTTCAAAATTGCACAAAATTCATGAAGATCCAGACAAACCACCTCATTGTGTAATAATACTTTGTGTATAGAGGAAACAGTTAACCAAAGATGTTTCTGCTTTGATACTTTGAAAAGAAATAGACTAATTATATCTGTGTATCAGTTCCTCCCTTTTCCATTACCATCCTGTATAGGTTTTACTTTGTGGCTTTGTAACAGCATGCTTAGTGCTTTTCAGTGTCACTGTGTCTCAGGTTAAAAATAGTAGTCAGCAACCCTAAGCAAGCACTTTGGCCTTTTGATTTCTGTTTTATCCTAAGGTATAATACAGAGACTCCAGTTTTTCTTTTTGTTCATTTTAGTTCTTTTTTAGTGATGACATATTTGAGATTACAATAAGATAGATCATCCAGATAATTTTAAGTTTGGTTACTTTATCTAAGATGAGTGATGTAGCCGAAATTAAAGTGAAGCTAAACTATAGTAAAAGTAGTATGAGACAGAAATTGATTATGTTTTGAAGGTCACAGTAGCTGCTGGTCTCTCCTGTCACTACAGAATGGCACACTTGGCCTTGCTCTGTCTTGCACAGTTCCTGCAGTTACTTAGAGAACAAGGAAAAATAAACAGCAGCTGAGTCTGATACAGTAGCATTCCTCCAGGTCTATGCTGCCATATCTTCCAGAATCTATCAATTTGGTGATATATGAAAATTCCATAGTAACCTCTTTTATATTTTAATGTATCATGAACTAAGAAAGAAAATAGGGTCATATGACAGTTAACATTAAAACAGATAAATACCTTGGAGATAGCAAGCCGCAGGCAGGCAGTCTCAATCTCAACTCTGTCAGCTGGCCTTACTGACAGTGGCATCCTTACCTCTCCTGGTTTTTAACTTGCATGTTACTAAGTGAATACCTTTTTTTTTTTTTTCTTTTTTGGTAAATGTTGTGTTAATCAAGTCCTACAGTAGCAAAATGGAGACCCACCATAGTCATTATCTATTTGACATTATTTTCTCAAAAATACTAAATAACAAATAACTCCCTACTTGCTGACTACTCAGTGTTCTAGGTGTGCGGTGTCTGTGTTGATCTTGCCGCTATGGGAATGTGGGTTTCCACAGCAGTCATCAGAGGTACTTTCCAGACCACGGATTATTATGCTAATGTTTGTTTCCGCTGGGAAGAAGTGTACGTTTGTGCATGTCTTATAAACCCAGACACAGACAGTTAAAAACATAGTTTTTCTATGCCTAATAAGCTATGCATTAAAAACAGAAGCTTTTATTCCCCAAAAACAGATTATCCTAATCTGGCATTAGGAATTAGTGATAGGAAAACCAGGATCGAGAATTCAGAATTGTAGTGGTTTAGGAAGAAAAAAAAAAGGATGCATCTTGCTCTGGCTACTTGAAAATATATTTATTTGTGGATAAGTCTAAATTTAGTCTTGCAGATAAATTTTTTTGTGTTTTAACGACATCATCCTTTTATATCTCTCAGAACATGGCACATCTTAGAGAACCATTGCTTGTGTTGCACCATATTACATTTGTAATTAAGTTGTCTGCATTCACCCTTTTGAAATCTGCCCATTTCTGTTGTGCGCATTTCACACAGACGTGCAGGGGCCTAGCCTGAAGGGAGCGATATGCTGACACCTCTATCACTGAGGCTGTGGTGGATGGTTTGGTACTATAGACAGTGTATTGGCAGAATAATTGCTTATTTCCATAATTGAACACACAAAAAAACTACACATTAAGGTGTGTAACTACAGTGATCATCCTACATGTCAAGCTATACCCAAGTCCAGAGACCTCAGGTGCATTCTCACAATACCGTAACTTCGAGAAGGAACCTGGAGGTGCTTCTAGTGCTCAGACCACACAGGACAGCTGAGGGCAAGGACATCCCAGGTGGCTGTCAGGGCGACCCCCTTCTCCAGCCTTGTCCAGGAAAACCTGAATGTGTTCCTGTCATTGGGCAATCTCAATATGGTGGCTGTCCCTCTGGAATTGAGAATGTGTTATCCAACATTGCAGGAAGAACTGCAGGATGTACCTGGGGAAATCCTATAGTTCTTAGGATTGTTCAGGACCTGGGACAAGGATTTTTGTGCCCTTACGGGGTTATTCAGGTGGTGTTCACCACAGTCCCTGTGTAGTCTTTGGCCAGACATGCAAAGATGACCTTAAAGTCTTCACCCATCAATTCATTTTTCCATTTCTTCTACTTTTAAAATAGGTAGGCTTAATGTTGTTATTTTCCTTGAACTAATTTGACAAGATTAACTAGAAAATCCATGCATCTCAGGACTGATGATAAAAACACGTACTCTGTACTGATATATTTAAGAGTTACACAGAGAGGGAGAGATTTTTCATCTGCTGGTTCACTCCCCATATGGCTGCAAAAGGAACCCAGAGCTCCTTCCACATCTTCCAAGCATTTGGGCCATCTTCTACTGCTTTCCTGGGCAGATTAGCAGGGAGCTGATTTGGCAACGGAGGAGCCAGGGCTCAAACTTGTGTCTGTGTAGGATGCTGGTACTGTAAGCAGTGGCTTAACCTGGGCTATGCCACAACGCCTTCCACCTCCCTCCACCCCTACCCTCCCATCCAAGGGTAGCTTGGTCTTAAGGAGACTTGGGAAAGAAATGAAGCCTTTTTTTTCCCTTCATTGCCCTGAGCACCTGACCAGGTTTCTGCCTCCCTTTTATTTGGAAGTGACCATGCGGACTCTGTGTCCACGGATGCTGCTGGCCTGCATCCCAGAGACTCGGGGTACCTTGTCCTGGACAGCAGCAGTAGATGAGACATATCTTGGAATCCATGGAATGATCATTTGCAGACAGTATCACTTTACACAAAAGATAGTTTTGTCTTAAAATGTTTATTATGATTTCATACTGTGTACATAGACTGCCCTTGCCAGATGTCTTTTCCCTCTTGTTGAAATCTCTAACTCCTGAGCAGTGCTTACCTTCCCTGGACTGCGGGTGTTTTTCACTCACGAGGAATAAACAAAGTTACCACAGTTTGGATGAGATTGGCTTTAGGGAGCTACCCAGGGAGGGGAAAGCCTTGGGGACTTTTATCTCACTTTTGTTTTTTGAACTATCCATCAGATACTTCAGCTCATCAAGATAGGAAGTTTTCAGAAATACAAAGATAGGAAGATAAGAGAAACTCAGCAGGGTTAGGTTGGGACTTTGAAGACTGAGGGGACCCAGTTAAGGTGGAGGACAGATGACTGCGGCTTGAGACTGCCCGACTTCTCCTGATACCCGCGGTTCCTCATCTCCCTTCGGACTCCTTTCCTAAAACAGCCAGTGCCTATTTCATCGGGTTATTATAAGTTCCAGCTCTCAGGAAAAAAAAAAGTGAAGGGAAATTAATTTTGAATTAAATCTAAATCTCTTTACTTACAAGCTTTTGGCAGCTGTTAATCAGATTCAATCTTAAAGGGAACCAATTCTATTTAAAAACAAAGATAATTAGGGGACTGATCATTCCACTTTTCTCTCTCCAGGAACTCAGAGAGCTGAGCGCTGCTCTCTGAAATACCTCCAAAGTGGTGTCCCTTTCCCTCTGGGCAGCTCCCTTCCTGAATTTCGCTCAGGCACCCAAGGACACAAAGTGTTGGCAGAAACAGAGTGCTTTTGTATAGGCCATCTGTACATAAAAAAAAAAAAATGTAATTATTTATTTAATTTTCCCATTTGTACCATATTAAAGCTTTGTACAGCGTTTTAAGTTCTGTTTTAAAATTATTTTGTATTTTATTTTTATAATCTAGTAATAAAATATTCATTCCGCATGCAAACTCTAGTTCTGTTTGTGTGGTGGTTTGGCTTTCAAAAGTGGGAACTATTTTTTTTTTTAATTTAAGTTACTGGATGCACCAGTGGGTCACTAGAGCAACGGGAGGCCGACAGTATGACTGACTGTTTACGAAAGCGACGTAGAAAAGGCAGCCTGCTGCGAACCAAGCTTGGGGACGCGAGGAGATGGTTCTCCTATTTTCTTCTCATCCACAACCTCTGCCAACCCTGACCTTCCGGCCTCCCGGCTTCGGTTAGGCCTGGAATGTCAGCGCCACCTGTGTGTGTGTGTGTGTGTTTTGTTTAGTGTTTTTATCTTTGTGTTGTTTCCTGAGCTTGGCTTCCCTCTCTGTCACCGAGCAGCAAGCAGCGACATCTAAAACGCTGTCAGGTGGAAGAGACCCAAGGAGATGAAGTGACTCACGCCCCCGGGGGCTAATCAGGAAAGTGCTTGAGGGCAGCGCAGCTGTTCAGAACTTGAGCCCGCGGTCCCGAGGACCCTGCAGCCCTGCGGCGTAGTGAACGTCCAGGCTAGCAGGTGGTGACGCCTTCATCTAGCCAACTGCTATCTCCTGAGAGAAAACAAGGTACTTAGGGCAGAGGAGGGAGACTGGCGTGTCTCAGGAAGGTCCACCTTGACCGTGCGGCCACTCCCCCGGGCCCGGCTCTCCTCAGCCCAGTCAGTGCCTTTGTCCCCGCTCGAGCCCCGGCGAACCGGCCCAAGGACGGCGCAGCTTCACCTGAGCAGCCCGGCGGCCTGGGGAGCGCCGACCGCCGAGGCCCCGCCCCGCCGAGGTCCCGCCCACACCCGCGGTCCAACGGCCCCGCCCCGCCGAGGCCCCGCCCACACCCGCGGTCCAACGGCCGCGCCCGCTGCAGACCCCGCCCCTCGCAGGCCGCCCGTGGCGCGCCGGCGCCTGCGCAGTCGGCCCCGAGCGCCCCGACCGGGATGGCGGCCGTTTTGGAGTCGCTGCTGCGGGAGGAGGTGTCGGTCGCGGCGGCCGTGCGGTGGCTCGCGCACAGAGCCCAGAGTTCTCAGGTAACCGCGCCGGCCGGCTCGCCCTCAGGGCTGTGCGGAATGCGCTTCTCGCGGGAGACGCCACCCCCCACTCCCTGTTCTCCGGGGTCGCTCCTGGAGGCCAGCCCGGGCCGAGTGCGCTCCTAACGGGCGCCGCTGGCCGGGCGCAGCCCCGGGCTGCCAGCTGAGCCTCTCGCCCCTCGACCTCTGCTTTTTCCCTCAGGAGAGCCCCGGGGAGGCGGCCGTGCTGAGCTCACTCGGGCCGCTGCGGAAGGAATTCGTGCCATTCCTGCTGAACTTCCTGAGGGAGCAGAGCAGCCGTGTCCTCCCGCAGGGTCCTCCAACCCCCGCCAAGGCGCCCGGCGCCTCGGCAGCCTTGCCGGGGAGGCCGGGGGGTCCGCCGCGGGGCGGCCGCGGGGCGCGCAGCCAGCTCTTCCCCCCGCCGGAGCCCCCGCACGCCGCGGCCGAGGCCCCGGTGGCTCGCCGCGGGGGCAGGAGGCGGGGCCCGGCGCCGGCCCGCGAGCGGGGCAGCCGCGGGGCCGGGGGCCCGGAGGAGGGGGTCGGCGGGGAGAGCGTGCCCTGGGCCGGGGCCCGGAGGCTGCGGGGCTCTGGCAGTGCCGCCAGTCCCAGCCTCCCGCTCTGGGATCCACCAAACCTCAGCAACCTGGAGGAGTTCCCTCCCGTAGGCTCGGTTCCCCCCGGCCCCGCAGGGTGAGAATCCGCCCTCGCCCGGGACGGGGGAGTCGGTGACTCCCTTGGAGTGTGGTTAGGAGGCTGGGGGTGGTGCCGGGAGACCCTGCGAGGGGCACAGGTGCCGGCGTGGAGCGCGTCAGGCGGGGGTGGGAGGGCAGGTGCTGCCAGGTGAGAGTCTGAGAGAGCCCTGTGGCTGCCCCTCAGCAGGACGAAGCCTTCACGCAGGATCAACCCAACTCCGGTGAGCCAAGAGCGGTCACTCTCCAAGCCCAAGACCTGCTTCACCTCACCCCCCATCAGCTGTGTCCCCAGTTCCCAACCCTCAGCCCTGGACACTAGCCTTTGGGGCCTTGGCCTCCCCCCGGGGTGCAGAAGTCTGCAAGAGGAGCGGGAGATGCTCAGGAAGGAGCGGTATGGCCTTGCCGCCCGCCGGGGTGTCCGCTTCGCTCTCCCTGTGGGGACCTGCAGGGCCTTTCCCTAGAACTGACCTTCCTTCCCGGGGTACTCTGGGTTTGTCTCTCCCGGGCTGTGGCTGTCTGCCCTGAGTGTGTGTGTGTGTGTATGAGTACGTGTGGGGTCAGAAAGCCAGGCTGACCCTCATACCAGCTCTGTGTCCCCATAGCTCCAAGCAGCTGCAGCAGTCACCTATCCCCACGTGTCCCACCCCAGAATCCGGGTCTCCTCTCCCCAGCCGGCTGGGAAGCCTCTCAGATGAGCCCGCTGACCCCAGCCGAGTGTCCTCCCACCGCCGCCTGGAGTTGGTGGCCCAGGTGTATTCTGCGTGCATTGCTGGTGAGGATGGGGGTGCCCTAGGAGGGGACTTCAGTAAATTCATGCTTAAAAGAAGAGTTTGTTCTGATGCAGCTTTTGAAATCCATGCACCCTGCATACCTCCCATAGTCCATGCTACGGACTAAGTTCTTTCGTAAGAGAGATTTTTAGCTTTTTGAAGACCCTCGTAACAGCAGACTGAGGGAACGGCTAAAGTTACAGAACTGAGCCTTGGCTCCAGGATAGTGCCATTATGGGTTTTTTTGTTTTGTTTTTGCATCCAGAAAACCTGGTCCCAAACCTCTTCTTGGAGCTTTTCTTCGTCCTTCAGCTCCTCACCACCCGGAGAATGGTGGCTGCCCAGGACAGAGACTTTGAACCAAACCCAAGTGTCTTAGGTCAGTGAGCAGGCTTCCTCTGGGGGACAGGGCTCTGGAGATGGGTGCACCCTGACTGACAGCGTGTACTGTCTGTCCAGAGCCCCTGGAGAGCCCCCTCTTCCAGAGCGTCCATGACTGCGTCTTCTTTGCGGTGCAAGTGTTGGAGCATCAGTTTCCGTAAGTGTCGTCTGTTGTGGCATTGGTCCGATTGGCCGCTTCGACACAGGTGCGCTGGCCCTGGTCCTTTTCCTGTCAGTAGCCTTTGTGTGAAGATTCTGTGGCCCCTGGAAGCATCCAGTGGAGCAGTGTGGTCCTGGTGGCTGGCCCTTCTGTCTGTGTCTGACATGCTCTCTGGCTGCTTTTGTGCGGCCCCACTCCCTCCTGTTCACCTCCAGCATCTTTGGTCCTTGCCTCGTGACCCTGTGTAGGTGTTTGAGCTCACAGCTTCCAGCTCTGCCCTGAGTGCTGCATAGGCAGGCTGTGCCCCCGCCTCAGTCGTGTGTGCTCCTGTCCCCACAGGGTCCTCTGCTGCCTGGATAAAGGCACCTTGAAGCTGCTGGCGGAGAACGAGCGGCTGCTGTGCTTCTCCCCTGCTCTGCAAGGCCGCCTCCGGGCCGCCTATGAGGGCAGTGTTGCCAAGGTAGTGACCCCCAGTCAGATGTCCAGCAGCCTGTTCCGCCCCTTGTCAGCCACCATGCAGCCTGTGGGGACAGCTGTGAGTGTGACCCCTCGTCATTCCATGTTTCAGGTGTCTCTGGTGACGCTGCCCTCGGCCCAGGCTGTCTCTTTTCAGCCAGAAACTGACAATCGTGCCAACTTCTCCAGTGACCGAGCCTTTCATACATTTAAAAAGCAGAGGTGACGAGAAAGGGGAGTTTCTGGGGAGGGAACAAGGTTGCGCTCTCTCTGGGATAAGCAGTTGTCTTCACAACCTGGGGGTTTGGCAGTGGCCAAGGGGTCAGTATCACCAAGCTCTTCCCAGCCCTTCCACACACACTGCGGTCACTCTGTTGTGTTCCTGTGGACTTGGAATTCCAATGGAATCCCTGAGCTCAGCCAGCCCCTCACAGGGCTTTCATCCCAGAGTTCTGGACAGGATCCCCTTTGATTGTGCACCTAAGTGCATAAGCCTGTGGTGTGCCATGCAGCATCTTAGCTGGCATCCCCTAGCCGACTTTGTAGGCTAAGGGATGTGGTTGGCCATCGTCCTATCCCCAGTCTTCCAAGCAAGGGCAGGCACATGGGGAGGGGTTGGTGGCACCCATGTCCTAGCTGACCGTGAATTCTTGTGTGTGTGTCAGGGATGTGTTTTATGAGGTGCTTCGAGAGTGGGAGGATCACCATGAAGAGCCCGGCTGGGATTTTGAGAAGGGCTTGGGCACCAGGATCAGGTAGGTGCTCGCTGCTGGTCACTTTGTCTTTCCTGCCAATGTGGGCAGCTCTGTGACGTGTGGGTAGCTGATGGCAGGAGCTTTCAGTCCTCCCATCTGGCCCAGAGCCATGCTCCCCACCGCTGCTTGGGAGACGCTTGACTCTACAGGACCCCGTGCTTGTTGTCCAGTGGCAGGTACCAGGGAGGAATCTTGTGGTCCAGGCTGCTTGTTTTGGCCCAGATTGCTGGGCAATCCCCTGGAGCCTATGTTGTCTACACCATCTAGTTTGAATGTCTGGCAGTTGGCCTGGGTGGGTGGGCTGCCTTATAGAATTGGTGCAACCAGGACACTCGCTGGCCTCGGTGATGGCTACAGATCTGTGGGTAGCTCACTGGGTCTGCGTGTCTCTAGCCTCACAGACCCAGGTGCCGAGGGCAGTGCCCCTTTCCTTGCCTGTAAGCAGGGGCAGGCCCACGTGGCACAGGTCTGCTTGCGTATCTGCTGAACAACCCGGGGCTAGCCTGTTTTCAGCTCCTTCCTGTCCACTCCCGTGTCTCATTCCTTAGAGCCATGATGGGTCAGCTGTCCGCGGCCTGCAGCCATAGCCACTTTGTTCGACTTTTCCAAAAACAGCTTCTCCAGGTAATGCCCTGCAGGAGGTCACTCTCCAGTGAACACTAGGTACCGTAGATGGACATAAGCAACAGCTGGCACTTTGGGACAGGGAAGATAGGCGCAGGTCCTGGGCTGGGGTGGATGGGGGGGTCTTGCTTCCTGGGTGGCAGTTGTGACTTGGGTGGGAGGACATGTTCCAGCCCCACACTCCCTTCTTGAGGTGTGCTGTGGTGGGAAGAGCCCTGGTTCCACATCATAATTCAGGAACCCCAAGCAGTCTCTCTCTCACAGCAGGCCTTGAGGCACCACAAAGCTGGCCTTTTGTAGACACTTTCCTTGTCTTATTCCACTCAGCCTGGATCTCCCACAAAATGGTTCTTGGTTTCCTCCCTCCCCCTACCCAGATGTGTCAGAGTCCAGACGGGGCTGGGGGCACTGTCTTGGGCGAAACCCCAGATGTGCTGAGTATGCTGGGAGCGGACAAGCTGGGGCGGTTGAGGCGCCTCCAGGAGCGGCTTGTGGCCCCTCAGAGCAGCGGGGGGCCCTGTCCGCCCCCCACCTTCCCTGGTTGTCAAGGCTTCTTCAAGGACTTTATCCTGAGCGCCAGCAGGTTAGCAGGAGGGCCCTCTCCTCTCCCTCTCCCTGGGGCCCCCTCACTCTGACTCCAATGCCACTTTCCATTGTCCCCTGCCTCAGGGGCTTGCTGCATCCCAGCCTCCCCATCTTCCCTGCTACCCTTCCCGTCGGGGTTGCTCTCCGTGCTGGTTTTGCCTGCAGCTGTTCCACTGCCTTTTTGTTCTTTTCTGCCCTTCTTTCCCCTGCAGCTTCCAATTTAATCAGCATCTCATGGACAGTCTGAGCTTGACTATCCGGGAGCTCAACAGCCTCCCCCTGCCTCCACACGAGCCCAGTGATGAGGATGGGGAGGCAGATGTCGACTGGCAGGTGAGGAAGCAGAACGAAGGCCGAAAGCAACAACGTGGGAGATTGTGCTCCAGGAACTCTTGAAAGCAAGTGTGGGATCGTACAAGAAGCCTTGGGTGGAGACATTTTCCCTTTGTTGTGTACAGGGGGAACGGAGACAATTTGCTGTGGTGCTGCTGAGCCTGAGACTTTTAGCCAAATTCCTGGGCTTTGTGGCTTTCCTGCCATACCGTGGGCCTGAACCACCCCCAACCCGTGAGCTTCAGGACTCGATTCTGGCCCTCAGGAGCCAGGTGAGGGTGTGGGAGATCCTGGTGGAGGGATCTGGGAGGCCTGGGAAGGCTTGGACACTGCTTGGGCTATTCTGGAATCCTGACAGGCCAACAGGGGTTACCCAACCCCTCCAGGAGCCTGCCCACTGACCAGCCCTGCCTTCCCCAGGTCCCACCAGTCCTAGACGTGCGAACGTTGCTGTGGCAGGGGCTGCGGGCCCGCCGGGCCGTGCTCACGGTGCCCTGGCTGGTAGAGTTCCTGTCCTTCGCTGACCACATCGTCCCCTTGCTGGACTACTACCGGAGCATCTTCAGTCTCCTGCTGCACCTGCATCGGTGAGGGGAGAAGAGCTGCGGCTGGCGAGCAGGGTGTGTGCACTGTGGGCACGATATGTGATAGAGCGTGCCTGCTGTGTGCTCTCCCCGCTGGCAGAGATGTAGAGGGGAGCGCAGAAAGATGCCAGCTGACCCCCAGGAGCAGTCCCTCTTGAGTTCTGCTGTCAGGAACCTCCTTGCAGCCACACCTGCTGTTTACCCTACCCCTTTCCTGGCCCCGCCTCATGCATGTTCTCATGCCCTACAGGAGCTTGGTCTTGGCACAGGAGCGTGTAGGGGACATGTGCTTCCTCAACAAACTGCTGCTGCTTGCCGTCCTGGGCTGGCTTTTCCAGGTGGGCAGAGGTGGGGATGAGGATTGGAAGGAAACCTGAACAAACAAGGCAGGAGCCCAAACACATGGTGGGCAAGTCGGCGGCCCAGAGGAAGGTTGCACTGAACTTGCAGCCTTCAGGTAGGACATGTGCTGGAGTGCTGCCTGCGGTTCTGACAGCCTCCTCTCCCACCAGATCCCCACCCTCCCCGAGGACTTGTTCTTTTCAGAAGAAGGCCAGCCAGATGCCCTTCAGGTGGACACAGTGTCCTCAGAATATGGCTTGGTGAGTATGGGGTTTTAGCCATCATCCTGGGCCAGCCAGGGAGGCCCAGGTGGAGAGCATGAGGGAGGGCTTGTGTCTGCTCCTGGGCCCGCTGGGGAGGGAGGGAGCTGCCTGCCTACGCCGGCCTCTCCCCCAGGACAGTGCACCCGTGGTGGACCAGCAGCTGCTCTACACCTGCTGCCCCTACATCGGTGAGTGTCCTACACCTTAGTCTACCCCAACACTGCCTCTGCTGTGGGGTCTCTATTCCACACATACTGGGGGGAGGAAGGATTTTTCTGGAACTAAGAAATCAGATGTTCCTGCTGCAGGAGAACTCCGGAAACTGCTCGCACTGTGGGTTTCAGGCAGCAGTGGGCGGGGTGGAGGTTTCATCAGGAAGATCACCCCAACCACCACCACAGGGCTGGGAGCCCAGACTCTCCAGAGTAGCCAGGGGCTGCAGGTAAGGCTGAGCAGAGGGCAGAGGGTGGGGGTGGCCCTGGGGGAGGCTGAAGGAGACCCTCATCATGTGGCTCCCCTGGCCCCACAGGCACAGCTCGCCCAGGCCTTTTTCCACAACCAGCCGCCCTCCCTGCGCAGGACTGTGGAGTTTGTAGCAGAGAGGATCGGCTCAAACTGCGTTAAACACATCAAGTGAGAGTGCAGCCAGGGTCCTGATCCCTTCCCTTACCATTTTTAACTCTTAGCACCCTGCTGTTCAACGAGGAAAGTCAGCCAGAAGGGGTGGGGAGCAGGGCAAGGCTACAACTGCTGATGTGGTTGGAGGAAATTCGGGAAACCTTGAATTTGCTGCCTCTGTAATTCACCCCTCCAACCTTTTTGTCCCTGCTGCAGGGCCACACTGGTAGCAGATCTGGTACGACAGGCTGAGACGCTTCTCAAGGATCAGCTGGTGGCACAGGGCCAGGAAGGGGGTGATGCAGCCCAGATGGTGGAGATGTTGTGTTCCCAGCTGTGCCCGCATGGGGCCCAGGCACTGACCCAGGGGCGGGAGTAAGAACTCCTGTTTGGACTGTCACCTCCTCGGGCCTCTTAGCGTTCCCGTCTTGCCCTTTCCTGTTGTACACTGACACCTGCGACTCCATCTCCTCTCCCACGTGCTTTCCTGATCCTTCCCCTTGCTCCTCTGCGGGTTTTGAACCTGGGCTATGGTATTTCTGTGGCTCGGGAGGGCTGCTGCTTGGGCCTCTTTCTGCAGCATTAGGTCAGGCAGGAGCGCGGTGCTGGCCTGCCCTGCACTGAGCCGAGTTAGCGCCTCCATGCTGCTGAGGCTCATGTGTCTCCTCACAGGTTCTGCCAGAGGAAGAGCCCTGGGGCCGTGCGGGCACTGCTTCCTGAGGAGACCCCAGCAGCTGTATGTAGGGGGCTCTGGGGTCAGCAGGCGCCCAGAAGTGCTGGCCTGTGTGGGTGTGAAGCCGCTGATGGAGGGTACGTGGGCAAGCCCTACCCCTCCCTCGGCTCCTGAGCCTGCCGTCTTTCCATGGCACAGGTGCTGAGCAGTGCAGAGAACATTACTGTGGGGTTGGCCATCGAGAAAGCCTGCACTTGGCTGTCAGCCAACATCACAGGTGAGGTCCCCACACTGGAAGGACAAACCAGGTTTTTGTCTCCTGGGTAGACAGGGACTCAAGGTACTTGGAACGTGGGGACACAGCCAGCTGGAAACAGTGACAGGCATGGGTGGCCTGGTTAGCCCCTGAAGATGCTTCCTGACCCCTCTCCTCTCCTCTGTCCCACAGCGCTGATTAGGCGGGAGGTGAAAGCTGCCGTGAGTCGCATGCTTCGAGGCCAGGGTCCTGAGCCAGCTGCCCGGGGGGAGCAGAGGGGCTGCTCCCACGCCTGTGAGCACCACGCTCCCCTCCCCTCCCACCTCATCTCCGAGATCAAAGTACACAGCTCCCCTCCTCCCTTTGGCTACCCTCCTCCCCATCCCTGCTGTTCCTGGTTTCTTTCATTCTTGCATCAGCGCCACAGTGTTTCTTTGTAGGAGCTTTCTGTGTTACCTGGCTGGTCCCCGCCTCATCACTTAGTGGGATTAGGTAGGCAGGCAGGGAGAAATTGGAATTGCTTGGTTCTTCTGGGTGTTACTTTCGGACACTGGTCCATCATCTGAACAGGCCAGGGTAGGTAAATCTGGACTAGAAGCCTGTCACCCAGGTGCGGGACAGTTCCCACAGGAGTCCCCCAGGTATGCCCTCCTACATGGAAGGATTAAGAATTAACCTGCTTAATTCTCTTAGTTTGGTTTGAAAAACACAGAGCCTGTTTGGAGCAGAGTCAGGGTCAGCTGTGGGCCAGATTGTGCCCCCTACTTGTTTTTGTAGTTGTAGTTTTATTGGAATACAACTACTTTTATGAATTGTGTGTGACTGTATTTGCACTACCAACAGCAGAGATGAGTAGTAGTTGGGAGTTGGGACAGAGACCTTACGGCTCAAAGTGTAGAATAAACCCCCTATGGCCCTAGGCTGCAAATTAAAATGTAAAATAAGAACTAAGACGTGATTACATACAGGAGAGAGAATAAGGCTTGTAACCAGACGCTGGTTCTCAGTGTACACAGGACTTGCGTATGGAAACTGAACTCTTCTAAAGGTGGAAAGGATAGGAATTGTTAAAACTTAGGGTAGGTACCCACAATCCAGCTTCCTGCCAGCATGTGCCCTGGGAAGCAGCAGCTTATAGCTCAAGTAGGTGGGTTCACCACTCTAGTGGAGAATAAAGGGAGTCCTGGCCATTTGGGCAGTGAACCAGCAGGTGGAAAATCTTTGCCTTTCAAATAATTGAAAGTTCACTTAGAACATTAGAACTGTACCTGACAGGACACTTGCCTTCATGCTGTAGCAATCAGAAACCGCTAGAAGTTGGTGGGTAGTTTTGTCCCAAGGAAAACACCGTCCCTCAGCTGACCTGCAGCCCCTCTGCCCGCATTGGTTATTGGTTGTGTGGTTGCTTCTCCCGACGTGCTGTGGCCCAGCTACCTCACCACCTGGGGTGCGTGTCCTTTCCCTTTGCCCTCCTCACTGCTGAGCGCCACCCCTCCTGGATCCTCTGGCCCCCACAGGATGTGCTCTCCCTGGCTGTGGGGCCCCGGGATCCTGAGGAAGGCGTTTCCCCAGACCATCTGGAGCAGCTCCTAGGCCAACTGGGCCAGACTCTGCGGTGCCGCCAGGTAAGAAGGAAGGTGTGCCTGTGCACATTCTTATCTAGAGCCACGCTGGCTGGCTCAGGGCTAGTCCCAGTAGGAGCAAGGACACTAATTCTTGGATCTCCCTCTTTTTCCCACAGTTCCTGTGTCCACCTGCTGAGCAGCATCTGGCAAAGTGCTCGGTGGAGCTGGCTTCACTTCTTGGTACAATTGTTTTCTCAATCACTTGTGCCAGGTGCCCACAGCTCAGTGTTGACTAAGATTAGTAGCACCTTCCTCCACTCCGTTTTCTCACAGCTCAACTATGCTCTCTTCCTGTAGTTGCAGATAAAATCCCCATCCTAGGGCCACTGGCGCAGCACAGGCTGGAGAGAGGGCAGGCCCGGCGGCTTCTACACATGCTGCTCTGCCTGTGGAAGGATGACTTCCAGGGGCCAGTACCCCTGCGACTACTGCTGAGCCCCAGAAATATGGGGCTTTTGGCAGACACCAGGCCAAGGGAGGTAAGTCTGAGATAAAGGACAGTCCCCTCTTAAATGCCCACCACCCACATGCCATTTCCTGGTTTACATTTTTGTATTTCTCCTTTCCTGTTCCAAGCTGAAGTGACCTGCGGATTACTATTTTGCAGTGGGATCTGCTGCTTTTCTTGCTACGGGAGCTGGTGGAGAGGGGTCTGATGTGCCGGACAGAGATAGAAGCCTGCTTGGACAGCCTTCGTGATGCCCAATGGCCAGGGGTAAGGAGCCCTCATCTCCCTCTTACATGGAGAGAGAACAGGTGTCATGTATGCCAAATGTCCTGAAAAAGACTTTTGTCTAAGGTCTTTAAAACCACCCTGAACATGTTGGCCTCCTTCCCTTATAAGGGAATTTTAGAAAGTCCACGGAAGAGTGTAATTAAAGGTAAGTTTATTTGGAGGCAGAAGCTTTTTCAACTCTGTAGTTTCTTCACCATAGTTATTCCTCATGAGGGAGTGTCAGTGGAGAGGCAGGCAGCATGGCACAGTGAGTGCTGGCTTTTAATCTCTGCTCAAAGCCATTAAAGTATGCATTTTAGACTAAGTGATATTACTTTCCTTATTCATAAAATGGCACTAATAATTGCAAGATGGAATAACATGCATTTACTGTCCCTGTGGTAATTCAACCTTTCTCAAGAACCAAGCATAGGGATTAGGGATCCTGATTTCATTGCACAGAACAGGTCAGAACAAACAGCACAACCAAGTTGTTCCCCAAGTTGTTAACTGGGATTTGATTTTGGGGATTGATGGTTTAAGATTTTGAGGGCCTGGCATGGTAGCCTAAAGTCCTCACTTTGTATGCACTGGGATTCCATATGGGTGCTGGTTCATATCCTGGCTGTTCCACTTCCCTGCTAGCTCCCTGCCTGTGGCCTGGGAAAGCAGTAGACGATGGCCCAAAGCCTTGAGACCCTGCACCCGTGTGGGAGACTCAAGAGGCTCCAGACTTTGGATTGGCACAGTTCCAGCTGTTGCAGCTGCTTGGGTAGTGAATCAATAGATGGAGGATCTTCCTCTCTGTATATCTGACTTCAGAAAAAAAAATATTGGAGTTTCAGACTGCTGGCTCACTCCCCAAATTAGCCTTGATCACTGACTGAATCTGGACCAAACCGAAACCAGGAGCTTCTTCCAGGTATCAGTGGATGCAGGGGCCCAAGTAGGTCATCCTGCCCTGCTCTCTCCAGGTGCATTAGCAGGTTGTTGGATCAGAAGTGGAGCAGGGACCAGCACAGCAGCTCAGCAGGCTAATCCGTCACGATGCTGCGCCATATCCTGTATGGCTCCTGTTTATGTCCCGGCTGTTCCACTTCTGATCCAGCTCCCTGCTTATGGCTGGGAAAGCAACAGAGGATGGTTTAAGTCCTTGGAGAAACTCCTGGCTTCAGATCAGCTCAGCTCTGGCTGTTGCATCCATTGGGGAAATGAACCATTGGAAGGAACATCCTCTGTCTCTCCTTCTCTTTGTGAATTTGCCTTTCAAAGGGGAAAAAAAAAAATCTTAAGGTGGAGCTGTCCAGAAGGATTCACCTTCTCAAAGTATTTTTTCTTGTTCCAGGACTTCTCTGAAGAATTAGCAACCCTATTTAATCTGTTTCTAACTGAGCCCCACTTGCCAGAGCCCCAGCTACGAGCCTGTGAGTTGGTGCAGCCAAACCGGGGGACTGTGCTGGCCCAGAGCTAGGGCTGGGAAGCAGCCCTATCGGGCATCTCATTGGAACCCTAACGCCCTGCCCACCTGTGCCTCAAGAGGAAGGAAGCCAGGAGCCCACTGTGGATCCTCACTGCGGTGTGAGGAACTGAATCTGGGACAGACCTCCTGCTCAAACATGAAGGGCTTCATGGCACTCCATCAACGAATGGCAAGCCCTCCATCCGAATCCTAGAGGCCGTGTGATCCAAGATGGTGTTGGAAGGTCCTAGAGCAGAAAAGCAGGCGTTCATCACATGGATGCACAGTAGCTGAACATGAGAGGGCTTGCCAGCACGAGCTTCAAGCCTCACTGGCTGCAACACCAGCATCTCTCACAGTCTGTGCTTCTGGATCATGAAAGCAGCAAAAGACTGCTTGTAACTGAAAGTTTAAACATGGATTTAGAAATCTCCATTTTCCTATCACAGGAACCAGGAGCTTAAAAATGCACATCAGATAAGGTAGGGCCCACCTGGCTGAAACCTGGCTTCATCCCTTGGTCTTCCGCCTCTGTACAGGCCCTGACTCCATCCAGGGGTCAGGCAAGGGACAAAACAGTTTTTAAAATATAAGCTGTTTGCTTTCACAAGGGCTGAGGTCTAGTTATTTCTACCTTTTTCCCTTTAGAAGGTTGTGAGGTCTCATATGGGCTTTGAGTTGCCAGCCATACAATTCCCTTACCCTTCAGGTCCCTGAAGCAGTGCTTTTAATTTATCACCCATAATATTGACAGCTCTTGTCAGAGCGGGGGTGATTTGCAACTTGTCTCAGAACAAAACATTCTACTTGTTTTCAAGACTGCTTCTGTACAAGTGAACCACTGATTCTAAGAAAGCATAACTTTGAAAACTTTGTGTTTAAGCAATATGAGAATTAGGCAATTTAGAAGCAGAGTGCCTTTATTAGGGAAAAATTTATAGCCGCTTGAGGGTCCAAGCAGAATTAATGCACTGCGCCTACAGGCATGTACTGCAACAAAGCTGAGAACATGCATCAATACAGAAGGCGATTTTCAAAGGCTTTTCTCTGTCCTTTAAATCCAATTTAATACCTAGGAGTCTAAGTGATGTGAGCAAATGCTTTCTCTTTAGGACAGAGCAGCATTCAGTATGGCTGCATCACAGCGTTTGCTCAGCAAGCTGCAGGCTGTTAGCTACTTGGCAAATTTCAGGAGAGCCTGCAGGTACCGGGGTGAAAGGCTGGGCCGTACCCAGGCTTGACTCTTTGTCTACTGCTTTGAAACCAAGTTCTTGCAAAATAACTAGAAATCAAACATGTTTACCACAAAGGAGAGTTCCTGCAGCCTGCTGAACCCTTAAAGGCTACTCTGTGGCTCAAGCAGACAGGCAGCAAATGCCGCACCAACTCACCAGCCTGCACTCTGGATCGGGGCTGTACAGATTCTCAGTGGTCCTCACAGCGGTGGCCTGGGGGTTACCTGTGTCAGGTGCCTTTCCACATCTGCTGAGTCGGAAATGTGGGGTAGGCCCAGCCTGGGGTGTAACAGAGTCTGTAATTCATACACAGGCTAAAATTGAGTACCACCCATCTAAACCAAAGTCTGATTTTACTTTCTCCATCTGTACAGTCCCCTCTCAGAATCCATAAGAACTCTAAAACATCTGCATAGAACTTATCTCCATCCTCTCAATTACATATAGATTAAGAGAATATAAATGCCATGTGTAGCTGTTAACACTATATTATATGGTGAGTAATTTTTTTTTTTTGAATGGCAGAGAAACACAGGGTAAGCTTTCACCTGCTGGTGCTCTTCCCAAATGCCTGCAACAACCTGAGCCAGGAATTCAACCCACCTAGGTCTCCTAAGCAGGTAGCAGGGGCCATTGTTGCCATCACCTGTTGCCTCCTAGGCTGCACATTAACAGGGAGAACAGAGCGGCCCCAAACCTGGGCACTGCATTCTGTGATGCCATTGTCCTAAGCACCACACCTATAGCTTGCCCTTTTCTTCCCACCCCTACAAAACACTTTCTATCACAGAGCCTGCAGATTCAGAGGGCTAAAGTTACTCACCGTTTAGCTGGTGTGTGACTCGTCTGCCAGGTGAGAGAAAACCATCCATGGCACTGTGGTCACTGCTAAATATGACGGTGACTGCTGGAATTCCCCCTTCTGTTATTTAAAGTTCTAAACTAAATCTGGTTGTCGAGGACTGCAAAGCATCCATGTAAGTCAAATACAGGAGCCTGAAACTGGACCATGAACTAGGCCATGACTCGAGAGCTAAACTGTGCCATGCTGTAGTGACACATATAAGTCTGTTCCAAGATAATGTCCACTGTTGAAATACACACAGGACTTTAATTCTCAAGTATTCTTTTTGAAAAGAGTTGGGAGTACATATGTAGGGTGTCAACTTTAAAAAAAAGCAATCAAAGTATTTAAAAAAGGTTTAAAATAATATATAAATGACGTAAGAGTAAAAAACTAAAAACCCTGAAAACAGAAAAGTAAAGCTTTGCTGCAGTGTCTAGAAATTTACTTTTAAAACATTCTTTCAATTGCCAATGAAAGTCCTGACACAAAAACTAAACATGGGTCATTCCCACCTCTTAACACTTCCCAGGAGTAGGCGGGGCTTGGAGCAGTGTGCACAGCTCCAACCAGTCGTCTCAAGGAGCTACCCTCCCTTTCTCTTCAGAGAGGAACACCAAATTCCTCCTGCCTTATCAGCCACCAGCAGCTGCTGCCTCACCCAGTCCCCAAAGCTCACCCCCATCCCTGCCTCTGACCTCTCAAACCTGCCATTACTCTTTCCCCAGTGACCCCCAGTTCTGAGCCCTTAGGACTGCTGACTGACACAAAACCCAATTGTCCCATCCTGGGGATAAAAGGAAGAGCTGGGAAAAGAATGAAAAAAATATAATTTGCAAAAATCAAGAGGCAGAAAAAGTTCTGAGTCAGTGGTCTGGTTTGTGCAGTTATTTTTTTTTTTTAACCCATTAGTCTGTTTTGATGTTTTCTTGACGCTCCATCCCAGAGGATCAGGATGTGGGAGGCAGATCCGGAGCAGAGACTTGGCCAATGGCCGCTGACTTTGCTGCTAGCCTGAGAGCTGGACTGCCCAGAGGAAGCCCCTTGCCGGAGTGCTTCACTCTGCTCTGCTGCCTATGCCCTCCTGGTCTTGGAGCAGAGCCTGCTGCTGGTCACGGAGTCTTGGAGACAGAAAATAAAGGCGAGAATCCAGAAGTTGAGGTGAACTTCATTCACCTCACACAGCCAGGGTCAGAGCTTGGTCTGCAGTGGCACCAACTATGTCCAAGCACAAGCTGGGTTTTGCCAGCAGTCCTGGCCTGTCTGCCCAGTCAGCCCCAGCCGTGTGCCTCACTGCTCACATCAGGGTATACGAAGGGGGAGAGGGGGAAGGGCAGCCACAGCATCTCTGGAGCACCCTGGGCCTGCGTCTCAGCAGCACCGTCTTGACGGAGAGATGCTAACTGCCAAGGAAGGAAGCCAGTCTGGCTATGACCAGTGGCTGCTGTTTGATAAAGGAGCTCAGCAGGTGAGGGGGGAAGCCGGGAGCACCAAGTTCTACCTGGAAACAGAGGAAAAAGTTGATGGCGGAGACTGATGTGAGAGTGTCAGGGTTCGCTTTGGCCCCTGGTAGCTACTCTGAGCTGTGGTAAGGGAAAAGGCATCTCAGACTACTGGCTTTGTGGTTTACAGGTCCTGAGTCCTGCCGTTCACTTGGAAGCGTCAGCTCTCAGCGCCCACTGACAAAGTTCAAGGCAGAGCTGAGAGGGGACTGCTCAGCCTGGCCAGTCATCCTGTCAAGCTGTTTTATTTTGTTTTGTTTTTTCCTTTTACTTTGTATTGACTTGTCTGTCTTCAGAGGATCCTGGGATTAGCCTCAAAATGGGGTCACTAGGCCCTTGTTAAGGGCAGGTTTAGAGAAGCCTGAGCAACCCTCAGTTCCTCCCATTTGACTCTCCTTACTGTGAGCCCAAGAAACACCCTTGGATCTTGAGTTCTCAGGCCAAAGGACCTGGGCACTTACGGATGCTGACCAGCTAAACACTCTGTGGGGATAGTCACAAGGCGAGTGAGGAAGTTGGCTACAAGGAGTGTCTCACCTGGGCCAAGTAGACGACTCTGGTGATGCCCTTTCCTTCCACAGTGGCAGGCTGCAGGATCCAGGCACTGGGTAGGATTTCTCCTCGGACCATATTTTTGCTGGGTCTTGGCATGGTTCTGTCATACACAGACTGAGCTGCCATGATAGACAGGGCTCCCTGGGGACAGACATACATGAGTCCTGCCTCTAACGTGGACAGCACAGGAGGTGGCTCCCATGTGCTATAGTGGGAGACAGCACTGGGCCCATCCCCAATTTGCCTTCCGCCCCACTAGAGGATCTGTCAGCCACTGGTTGTGTCTCCCAATACTCAACTCGGGTGCACAATTCTTCCCCTACAACTTTCCCACCAACAGGGCAAGCACCTCTTTGGCTTCCACACAGACACAACAGAAGTCCCGTGGCTGCTTCAGCACACATGTGGCAGTGTTGCACACCAAGTAAACTGCAAGGCAGGGAGGAAAGGGAGTCAGTGGCAAACCTGGCTCTAAGTCCTTCCTGGCCCAGCAGCTGCTCCCACCCCAACGCCCATAAATCCACACCCTGCTAGGCCCAGGATGAGCAAACCTGCCCACCAGCATGCCATGGGCAGAGCAGGATCCAGACAACCCCAGCAAGCCTGCCTTATCTGAGCTTACCCAGGCTGATGCTGTTGGTCACCCGCTGATGCAGCCTTGTTGTCTGGATGGGCTTATGAAACAGGGGCCATAGCGTGGGGTCACTCACAGCTGCCCACACATGTGACACTGGCTGTGGCACCACACCTGCCCCCAAGAAGCCGTGCCGAGTAGAAGAAAACACCTTGTAGTAAAGCTGCACTTCCTGCTCCTCGCCATGGTAGCTGAGAAAGAGGAGAGTAAAGGGAGATGAGAATGCAGCTCCACAGATGCCAGGGAGATGCAGGGCCTGAAGGAAGAGGAGTTTAGGAGATACAGGAAGACAAAAGGAGCTTGGGAACAATTGTCTCATCTATTTTCCCCACCCTAATCGGTGGTCTACATGAGCATGCATCCTTCAACTATGTAAACAGCATCAAGGTTAAAATTGTTTTTTAAAAAGTGGAGGAGGGGAGGGAAGGGAAGCCAAATGAGGACCGAGGTGTTGCAGGGGAACTCACTTCCAGCCAGCTGCTGCCTGGCGGCTGAAGAGGTTGTGCAGGTTATCAGAGCAAGCAGCCATTACCTGGGGACACAGTGAGCAAAATGAGGCTCCTGGCTGATGCAGTCTGGCCAGCGCTAGCAGATTTCCTTGTTCTCAACATGGAAAATGCCCAAAGATGCCCCCAAACTTCACTGGCCCCCATCTGCCTGGCTCTTTTCCTCCTGGCTCGGCTGTCCCCCTCCGTGCTCTACCCCCATCCCTGTCTGCATCTGGTTAAAGCAATGGTGGGATGCATAGGAACAGTTACATCCGCCATAGAAGTGTCCACGACGTGTTTGGCCAGATCCTGGTAGGAGGAGGAGGAGAAGCAGGTCGCTGGGATGGAGAGGCTGGTTGGAGAACAGCAGCAACTGCTCTGGGAAGGTCGGCGCTCTACAAGACAGGCAGGCAGGCAGGCACTGAGCCCTAGGGCCTTGTGACAGCAAAGCAGGGACAGACATGGGGCTGATAGCCACGGGCCTAGGACTCCCTAAGATCTAGCAAGCGTCCCACCCCAGATCAGACAGGGACTCATGACACCTTTGGCCATCACTCACTGTAGGCAGATTGGGCCAGATACGGGTGGCTGCTCCTCTGGGCAGAACGCCCTCGCTCATTTTCCAGCCAGATGTCTTTGGAATCAGACAAGTTTGTGTCCCCCTGCAAGACAGGATTCTCAGTGAAGGCTCAGGACTAAACCATAAAACAGGTGCATAACTCTGAACAGCTTCCATTGGCATGTGGGATGGCAGCTTGGCGGTGTGTCTTCTCTGCTAAGATCACAGGGAGGCAGGATGCTGGTCAGTGTGCCAGGAATCAGCCCCTGCACAACCTGCCCTGGCCCTCCAGAACCACAGGCTTGAAGGGAGTTTGTGAGAAGAGCTCCTACAGGACACAACAGGCTTGGGGGCCTGTTGCCAGCCTGCCAACCTGGGTGTCAGAGGGCGAGGCTCCTTGGCACCACTGGCAACAGAAAGAGGGCTTGCTGTGAGTAAAAGCAGCCAAAAGAGAAGAGGTTGGTGATAAGCCGACTCCATGGACCCTGCCGCCTCAGGCACTGTTGGGGTCTGTAGGACAGTCACCGCACCTTCTCAGCATCTGGTGACATGAGGGCGCATGGAACCTACACCCCCGGCATCACTTCCTGACCCTCAGCTGCTTTGAGGGAGGAAAGGGCAAGCAGACAGCCCTCCCCCACCCCAGCACCCCCCTCTGGGGACCTTCACTCCTGATCGTCTCTTCATCTCTCCCTCCTAATTGGCCCTTTCTGGTAAGCATGTAGGCACACAAACATGTCTTATGTCTTTGAAAACCTTCCTGGCCCACTTTTTCCTCCTCCAGGATGACCTCCCCTCTGCTGCTTGAGGCTGCTGGCTCCTAGCTTCAGATCAGCTCAACTCCAGTCATTATGGCCATTGGGGAATGAACCAGCAGATGGAAGATCTGTGTTCTCCCACTCTGTAACTCTGCCTTTCAAATAACAAATGTTAAAAAGACAGTGACAAAAAAAAAAAAAAGAAAAAAGAAAAGAAAAAGAAATCAGGGACCAGTACAACAGCAATACAGGCTAGTCCTCCACCTGTGATGCTGGCATCCCATATGGGTGTCATTCTTAGCTGCTGCATTTCCCATCTACTCCCCTGCTTATGATCTGGAAAGCAGTAAAGGATGGCTCAAGTTCTTGGGCACCTTCACTAATGAGGGAGACCCAGGAAGAAGCTCCTGGCTCCTGCCTTCCAATTGGCTTAGCTATTTGGGGAGTGAACCAGCACTCTTTTCATAACATTTTTTTGTAAAAAGGTTTTCCATCTGCTGGCTTACTCCCCATACGGCCACAATAGCTGGAACTGAACTGATCTGAAAGTAGGAGCCAGGAGTTTTTTCTGTGTCTCCCATGTGGATGACTCAAAAACTTGAACCAACCTCAGATATTTTCCCAGACCATAGGCAGGGAGCTAGATGGAAGTGGAGCAACTGGGACTCAAACCAGCCAGCACCCACAAGGGATGTTGGAACTTAAAGGTGGAGGATTAGTCAGTTGAGTCATCGTGCTGACTCCAGATCTCTCGTCTCTCGTCTCTGTAAATCTGATTTTCAAATAAAAATAAATAAATCTTTAAAAATTGTTATTTTTTAAAAATGCAGAAGTTTTCAAAAATTTTGAAAGTCTCCACAACTTTGGAATGGATAATACGTTTCTGTTTATTCAGAACCTAAACACTAAACAACTTCAAAACAAAGAGATTAAGATACTGAGAAAAAATATCTAATGCATATCAAGCAAAGGACTATTCTTGCTAATACATATATAAATAACAAAACAAACTGGTAACCAATAAAAGAGATAAGCAAAGGATGTGAACAAATAGCTCATGAGAAAGAAAACAAATGATTTGAGTATATGTTTACAAGGAGATAGTACATATTTTTGTTAGCAGAAAATCCAAATCCGTGATAACATGTTGGTGAGAGTATAAGGAAGAGAAGGGAAATGTCTTAATATGTTACTATCTTTTAAAATACATGCACAAGTCTACTTGTGGGAATTTATCCCATTGAGCAAGTACACTTGTCTGAAACCCTCGACACACAAAAACATTCACCAGCACTGCTGGCAGCACGTCCATAAACAACCCAAGCTGGAGTACTGGTTAGACAAACTACATCTCTAGAACAGAATTGTGGGCATAAATAAACTAATTCTTCCAAATATTCAAAGAGAAAGAGTGCCAAGAAACACTGGGCAAAAAACAAAACAAAACAAAACCAAAACAAAACAAAACCTATGTATGTATATGTCTGAGGTGTAGAACTGTGCTCTAATAAGCTTTGCTTTGCATGCATGGAGACTGCTAAGAAGATCCATCCCAAAACAACACTGTGAGGGCAGAACGGACCTGACTGCTACCAAGCCAGTTGGGCTAGCAGTGTCTCACACTGGACTGCCAGAGTCGGGGGAACTCGGTTCGGACTCTAGTTTCCTATTAATGCAGACCCTGAGAGGCAGCAGATGGTAGGTGCTTGGGTTCCTGCCACCCCTGTGACTGACTTGGACTGAATTCTTTGTTCCTAGCTTTAACCCAACCCAGCCCAGCCCCAATCACTTAAGGCATCTGGGAAGTGAGCCACTGGATGTCACTTTGTCTTAAAATATACAGCAATTCTTTTTTTCTAAAAAATTAAAGACAGAGGCCAGTGTTGTGGTGGTATCGGTTAAGCTGCCATCTGCAGTGATGGCATTCTATGTGAGTGCTGGTTCAAGTTCTGGCTGATTCATTTCTGATCCAGCTCCCCACTACATGGGAAAGCAGAAGTAATCTGGCACCCGGAGAACCACGTGGGAGACCTGGATGGAGTTCTTGGCACCTGGTTTCAACATGGAACAACCCTGGCCATTGTGGCCATCTGTGGAATGGACCAGCAGAGGGATGATTTCTGTCTCTCACTCACTCTTGCTCTGTCAATATGCCTTTCAGATAAATACACTCAAAAATTAAAAACCAAACAAAAAGATCCAACAGTGCTTTCGCATGGAGAGAATAACTAGGTTGACAGCAGTTAAGCCTGAGTATTTCCCTATACACCATTACATACGGATATATTTTTGCCTTTTCTATAATACAAATATACAAAACACAAATAAGAGCAATATTTTAAAACATGCAAAAGCAGATTTTAAAAGACAGTATGCAAGTGTTAAAAAGAATGAGTCAGCACTACATTTACACTATGCAATGATGGCCAAAAGCTATTTTTAAGGGCTGGAGGTTAGCACTGTGGTACAATGGGTCATCTTCCGTTGTCTTCCCAGGTGCTTTAACCCCCTGCATCCACTCTAAAGAGAACCAGATGGGACTCCTGGCTCCTGGCTTCAGTTTGGCCCAGCTCCTGGAGCCTTTGATGACTGACCCAAAGGATGGATGGTCTCTCTGTCTCTATCTCACCCCTCTCTGATGTTATGCCTTTCAAATATCTAAAAACATCTTTCAAAAATATTTAAGATTTTTTTTACTGGAAAGACAGATCTTACCGAAAGGAGAGACAGAGAAAGATCTTCTGTCTGCTGGTTCATTCCCCAAGTGGCCACAATGGCTGGAGCTGTGCCAATCCGAAGCCAGGAGCCTGGAGCTTCTTCCATGTTTCACACATGGGTGCAGGGTCCCAAGGTTTGGGGCCATCCTCAACTCCTTTTCCAGGCCACAAGCAGGGAGGTGGATGGATGGGAAATGGAGCAGCTGGGACATGAACATATGGGATCCCATACGGGATCCCAGTGGATGCAAGGCAAGGATTCAGCCACTAGGGCACCAGGCCCTAAACATATTTTTAAGGAAAAAGCAAAGTGTCAAAATGGATCTAGTATGCCTCCATTTATGTGCCCTAAAAAGACACCCATCATCTTAGGGATGAACAGGGTGGCTCTGGAAATCAGCACCAGACACAGGCAGATGCCCATTTCTGGAGAGGGCAAATAGGGGATGCACCTCACTCGATCTGACATTTGCCACTGTTCGAATATCACTCTTTACTATGTAAAGTCTTTTTTCTGAAGCAAGTTTCAAATGTTTAGTTCCTTACTCTTTAATCTTGCCTCTAGGCTCTGGTTCTGTGTTTCATTTCCAACCTCATTCTACACATTTCATTGTATGTGGGTTTCTCACAGACACCTTTAACCCAGTAGGCAGAAAACAAACTTCCACTCTCCTACCCAAGACTGTGTTTCTGGTTATTGTAAACATCATCATCCCTTCTGTTCAAGTCAAAAGTGTATGCTGCTCCCTTTCCCATCTTCCAGCGCCCAGCCTGTCACCAAGAGATGCATTCTTTGCTGCACTCCCTTCTCTACTGGCAACACCCTAATCAACCAATAACCATTTCTTGCTCAACATTAAGGTCACCCAACAGGTCTCACTATGGCTGTTCTTGCTGCCTCCTCTTGCAATCTGATCATTGTACTCTATTAAAACTTTCTTCTGCAATCTCCTTGCGTATGTGACAAACATCTAAAAATAATTTTATTTAAAATTTTTAAAAATAAAGTTTCTAGGGCCCGGCGCAGTGGTGCAGTGGTTAAGGTCCTCGCCTTGCACTCCCAGGATCCCATATGGGCGCCGGTTCTATCCCGGCAGCCCCGCTTCCCATCCAGCTCCCTGCCTGTGGCCCGGGAAAGCAGTCGAGGATGGCCCAAAGCTTTGGGACCCTGCACCCACGTGGGAGACCCGGAAGAGGCTCCTGGCTTCAGATTGGCTCAGCTCCAGCATTTGCAGCCGCCTGAGGAGTGAATCAATGGATGGAAGATCTTCCTCTCTGTCTCTCCTCTCTGTATATCCACCCTTCCAATAAAAATAATAAAAAATAAATCTTTTGGGCCCGGCGCGGTGGCGCAAGTGGTTAAGGTCCTCGCCTTGCACGCCCGGGATCCCATATGGGCGCCGGTTCTAATCCCGGCAGCCCCGCTTCCCTTCCAGCTCCCTGCCTGTGGCCTGGGAAAGCAGTCGAGGACGGCCCAAAGCTTTGGGACCCTGCACCCGCGTGGGAGACCCGGAAGAGGCTCCTGGCTTCGGATCGGCATAGTATCGACCCGTTGCGCTCACTTGGGGAGTGAATCATCGGACGGAAGATCTTCCTCTCTGTCTCTCCTCTCTCTGTATATCCGTCTTTCCAATGAAAAAATAATAAAAATAAATCTTTAAAAAAATAAATAAATAAAAAAAAATAAATCTTTAAAAAAAAAAAAGAAATAGAAGTAAAAAAGAAACTCCAGAATTTAGAAGATGCTTGTGATGATATCATGCTTGCAGATGACAACTGCTTAATGATTCCTTATCAAAGTGGTGATGTTTTCAATAGCCACTCACAAGAAGAGACACAGGGTATGTTAGAAGAGGCAAAGAAACTGACGCCTTAGAATCCAGACTGGAATCAATTCAATGGGTGTTAGTGGATTTGTAAGTTCAATTATATGCAAAATTTGGGAGCAACATAAACCTTGAAGCAGACGAAAGTTAAACATTTTATAAAACCTTTTTAAATTTGTTTAATAAACTTGAATAATGTTTTAAAATAATAATTTCCCTTCTTCAAATGAAATGGAAACTTTTCAAAAATTTTTCATTTAATGGAAACCTGCCTATTTTCACATGTCTTGCTTATTTATTTTATATTTTCAAAAGAAGACAGTATTCATCTATGTATTTTACATAAAAATTATATAAAGTCTGGGGCTTTATGTTATTAAAATCAGTTAAGCACCAAAAAAAAAAAAAAAAAAAAGAAGAAGAAGAAAAGAAAGAAAAGTACCAAATGGAGCCAGGCATTGTGGTAAATCTGGTTAAGCTGCTGCTTGGGACAATGCTCCCCCAATCACAGTACAGCTCCACCCTGACTGCTCCACTCCCTGTGCCCAGGAGCCCCCCATCACCCTTGGGGAGATGCAGATAGAGGTCTGGGCTCCTGGCTTCCACCTGGTACAGCTCCAGCTAATGCAGGCATGGGATTTAGGGGAGTGAAACAGATGGAACAATGTTTCTCTCTCTCTTTTTTAGCTTTTAAGTAAATGAAAATAAAATTTTTTTTTAAAGATTGGTGAAAAAATCAGGATACCAATTTACTTTTAATAAGTAAATGTTTTTATATGGTCTGCATGATTTGCCCTTTTCCTTTTTCATGTCATTTTCCCACCTACAATCCAGTCACACTAGCCTTCTAGTTCCTCAAACTCTCCTTTCTCAAGCCTTGACATGCTGGCCCACATCTCTCAACAATAGCATCACTAAACTTCAGCTTTCTTAACTGCCTCCCATCCTTCTGGTTTCAGTTGAAAACATACTCTCCTCAGAATACTTCTATTGACCTTCCAGGCTAAGTAAGACCCTTGATTTGTATCAGCTTAATGTTCCCTCTTCAAATAACTTACCAAAACAGTAAACAGAGATGAAAAATTACTCAGTTCATTTCCATAACCTGAAATTGTCACTACCAAACATTTGTTGAATGAATAAACAGACACAAAGATGGGCAATGCCAAAGAAAGTGAAGGCCCAAGGCCAGAGTATGTGAGAAGGGTCATGTCAGCTAACCTGTCCAACCTCTCCTGGCCCCTGGCTCACTGCCAGCCTCTGCCTACTTACCACACTCTCCGGGGACTGCAGCTGGCCTGCTAGCGCTGGACTGCTATTGTAGCCAGAAGTGATGCCAGAGGAGACACTTCCACTGGAGCTGGAGCACGGGGAGCTAGAGTTGGCCAGTGTGTGCAGTTTGACCTCTTCCTGGGAAGAGCATAGCACAGCACCAAAGTCCGGAATGCACCCTCAGCACTCAATCCCAAGAGCATCTCCTGGGCCTCCCTGCCTTAGCCTCCCATCCCCAAGCTTCCCCAAGCCCAGTCAATCCCCCACAGCCTCATCCTCAAGACCCTGGCCAGAGGACAGCAGCCAGTTTGATAAGAATAGACACAAAGGATACCAGAGCTCCCATGCCTCCCTCTAAGGGATTTATCCCAAGACTCAGAGGCAGTCACCATGAAGGTTGAGCCAGTCTGAGTTCTGTCCCAGGTTCCAGGCATAATCCCAAGTCTCCATCACCCTGTTCCCTACCCTCAGCAGCTGTGAAATGATCCGTTGGCGGATTCTCAACTTCTCTTGTTCTGTCTGCTCCCGTAGGCGGTCCTGGGCCCGAGCAATCTCCACCTTGGCCTCCTCACGGGCCCGCTGGTATTCTTGCAGCATTAGCGCTATGTCAGAAGGCGGATGCACAGCTTTTAATGCCGACTCTGAGTTCCTGGGAAAGATTACAATGAAAGCTAGTTAACTTTCTGGAGGGTGGCACTGTGGTATAGAAGATCAAATCTCCGTCTGCCATGAGTACAGGTTCAAGTTCCAGCTGCTTTACTTCCCATCCAGCTCCCTAATGTTCCGGGAAAGGCAACAGAAGATGGCCCAAATCCTTGGGCCCCTGCACCTACATGGGAGGCCTGGGTGAAGCTCCTCACTTTGAACTGGCCTACCACTGGTTCTTGGGGCCATGTGGGGAGTAACCCAGAAGATCTCTTTCTTTCTCTGTAAATCTGCCTTTCAAACAAACCAACCTTTAAAAAAAAAAAAACTAAATAAATCTTGAAAGAAAGGAAGGAAAGGGGAGGGGAGGAGAGGGGAGAGAAGGGTAGAAAACACACTTTTGTTTTTTGAAGATTTATTTTTATTGCAATGGCAGATCAGATTTACAAACAGGGGGAAAGAGTTCCTGTCCATTGAATCAAGTGGTCGCAATGGCCAGAGCTGAGCCAATCAGGAGCCAGGAGCTTCATCTGAGTCTCCCACACAGGTGGCAGGGTCTCAAGGCTTTTGATCCATCCTCCACTGCTTTTCCAGGCCACAAGCAGGGAGCTGGATGGGAAGTGGAGCAGCCAGGACACAAACTGGTGCCCATATGAGATCCCAGTGCATGCAAGGTGAGGATTTCACCATTAAGCCATAGCATCAGGCCATTTTCTAACATGGTGTGTGGGAGAGAGCCCTAGCCTGCTCTTTTTAGGCCATTACAGCACCATTCTCTTCAAGGATCTGTCCTCTCTGTGCCCACATGGTCCTGAGCTCAGTTTTATGGTTTTATATCCCCAAGAAAGGTGCTAACCAGACAGAAAGAGACCCTTCTGGGCCATCAACCTGTAGACCCACACAGCGCATCAGCACCCTCTGTCCTTCCTCTCCTTTAACTCCTCCTGCTCTCCCTCTCCCCCCTACAGCTTCTGTCCACTTGCTCCCAGCTCCTACCTGCACTTCCACTTGCCCACAGCCATGACAAACCCTCCAGGGTGCTAAGACCACGGCCCTGCTTCCCACATTCTTCTCCCACAGGGCTCTGGGCCCACCACTACCTGGTGGTCTCCACGACGTCTTTCCTCAGTTGCTGCAGGTATTCTCGGCGCCTGCTGGGCAACTCCAGGTCCTGGAAGGGAAGAAACCTGCTGGGCAGGAGACTCAGCTTTTTCTGCGGGCTGAGGCTCCGTGCCCGCCGGAAGTTCTCAAGTCGATCAGCCTGCTGTCTTCTGAGGGTTTCGATGGTTTTCTTTTGCCTGGGAGAGAAGATGGGACTGATTGACTGAACTGGGTCCTAAATGTCCTTCAGTGTGTTCTCTAATCCCATGGAAGATTTCAGAGCAATGGCAGAGAGAACAGCCACTTACTGGCTCTCTCATGGTTCTCTTTCCTCTCAGCCCAAACCCTGCCCTCCCAACTCCAGGCTGGGGACACTTACCGAACATGCAGCTTCTCCCAGGTGGACATCACGGGAGCAGCAAGAGTAACTGCCTCCCCAGTCTCACTCTGCAATGCATGAAGCAGAGCATCCGCCTCTCCAAAGCCGTGGTGTAGTTTTGCTTCTGCAAGTTCTACGCTGAGTGAGACGGTCTGTGTTCCAGTCTGCAGGGGGATCAGATCCCTCTGGGACCAACCAGGATTCCAGCTCTGGTCATCAGGAGGGGGAGGCCTCTGCCCCTGCTCTCCAGAGCCAAGGTCACAGCTGGCCCCAAGCTCTACAGTCACACTCAATCCCCCAGAAGAGCCATCCTGAACCCCATACCAGTTACTAAACTTGTTATGCACTGGGATGTCCCCCAGGCTGTGATGCTGGGGCTCAGGAGACAGACACATCTTGGAACTGGGGCATAATAGCCCTTCAGGTTGGCTGGCTTGAAGTGGGCCCAAGGTGGGACTGTGGAGCCCTACTGTATCAGTCAACTCAGAGTCAGGACAGGGGTTGAGGTGTGGGAAGCCTCCCCACGAGGAAGAAGCATCTAGAGTGGGCTGCTGTTTTATCAAAGATGCCGGACTCTCAGCCCCATTTTCTGGCCTGCTCTGCTGGCTTGGCTCCTTACTGTTCGGTGGGCTATGCTCTGGAGAAGCCAACAGCACAAAGCTGTCAGCCCACCTCTGGCTCTCATGCCTGGGTGGCGGAGGTGGGCATCTGCTTGGTATCCTGATGTCACTCTGAGGCTGAAGCTGTTGGGGGGCCTGCTCTAAGCAACTAACTTGGAGTCCTGGGCTCTGCTGTGGGCTGTCCAAGGAGTTTAATTCAAAGAATAATTTCCCACTACTCCTTTCTGAGAGATTTGTGCCTTCCCCCAGAGTCTCCATTCTCTGGGAAACCCCTGACTTATCAGTGGTTTGAGAACAATTATCCATGGCAGCCCTTGGGGCACTGAAAGGAAGGTCTGGGCTGCAGTCCAGCTTTTGGTGACTTTCCAGAGGGGGAGGTGAGGGAACTGAAAGTGTTGGAGAGCCCCGGTGGAGACCCAACTCATGGGTGCTGACACTAAAGATTGGGGAAGAAGCTCTATCCACCAACAAGGCACTCATGGGGCTCAGCTGCTTCTGCACGCTGGGTTCTACACCAGACTCTGAAGGACTGGGGAAGGACACTGGCAACTGAGAGATGATGGGGCTGGGGCTGCTGTTAACTACACAAGAAGATTCCTTTGGCTGTGAGCTGGGCCACAGGGAAGCATCCAGAGAAGCTGGGGAGCTCACAGAATGGAGGTCCTGCCCCAGGGGGGACTTGTAAACCCTCAAGCAGGGTGTAGGTCCTGGAGGGCTCTGGGCCCTGCAGTGAGCACTTTCTTCCTGAAGATCTGGGGACCCCACTGCTGCTTCTCTCTCTCCCTTCTGAAGTATTCCTGAGACATCTCCTTTGTCTTGAGACACAGTCTCAGTCTCTGAGCCCAACACTTCGAGGATCATGTTGGCTTCCTGAACTTTGGCCTCTTGGTTTTGCATGCACAGAGCAGGTAAGGCCAGGTCAGTCTGGCTGCCCTTATCTAGAGTGGTCTGAGTAGAGCCGTCCATCATCAGGGCCAGGGAGGCCTTTTCAAGGGTGTCCTTCTCCGTGTTGTGTTGTTTTTTGGTCACACTTGGCTGGGAGAGACTCCTGAGCAGCTCTGAGGTACTATGCAGGAGCTGTGAGAGGTGGACAGACAGGTTATGCATACTGGTCCAGGAGGCCAGATCAAAGCCTGACATGGTACTGGCTTCAGGCTCAGTAGAGGTGAGCTCGGTACGGCTCCAGGGGCACCTGCAGCTCACGGTCTGTGTGCTCTGCTCAAAGGTGTTCATCCTTCCCAGTCCCCCAGGGTAGCCTGCCTCTGATGTATATAGCAGCAGCATCTCCTCCACTGGACCTACAGTACTTTCTCCAGCCATGGGGAGCTCATGCTTCAGGCAGCCCACCTCATCAGGGCAGCCCTTGAACTGAGCTCTCTTGTCAGGATCCAACGTAGGGGCTAGTCCTTCAGGGTCAGTCACGACATTGGGTTCCCCATCAAATGAGGAGGGGCATACTTGGCAGGCCTCATCTGAACCAAGGGCATTCTCAGTGGTGTTGTGTGAGCCCACCAGGTCCAGGGTTTTGGCACAGGAGCAGGGGTGGGAGTAGACCAGCGAGTTCTGGTCTTCTGAACCATTATCCATGCTGGAGGACTGGGCCAGGAGTGTATTATCTGATAATGTGAGGCCCTGAGGTTTCTGGCTACAGGAGCTATCAACCACACTGCCAAGCATATGTTGCTTCCAGTTGATGCCCACAGGCTCTTCTGAACACTGTGGCAGGACAGGGGGCTGGATGCCACTGGAGGTCACGTGTGACATTCCTTTGATCACCTGAGAGTTCCAATTACCTGACTCATCCTGTCTCTTTGGCTTTCTTTGCTGGGTTGGTTCTAAAGAAACAGACATCCTGCTGGTCATAAAACTGGTGGCTGGCATGCACAAGGCAGTGGAAGAAGCTAGATGAGGTGGGATGTCAGGTTTCAGAAGCAAGTGACCAGCAGGGTCATCAGCCAAGTCAGACGAGGATTTCTGACCACAGTCCTCAGCCTTCACAGATGCTCTTGGTACTAAGCTCACAGGGAAAGCACCCTCACCCCGGAGATGAGGGATCAACAATCTGTTAGCCTTCTGCATGTCTTCATCTGAAGAAGAAAGTGGCCTCACGCTCAAATTAAGCTCCTGAAGAGATCGAGAAGAGCTGACCACAGAGAACTGTGGTCTAGGGGAGGTCTTGGAGTGTCTGGGACCACAAAAGACTGCAATCACAGGAAGTGAGCTTCTGTGGTGGGCAGCTGGTTGCAGGGCTTCATGTGGTCTGAAATCTGATGAGAACAAGTTAGATACAGGAGACTCCGTCACAGCTGCCTCCTTTATCCCACTACCTCTAACCGGGCCTTCTTCAGAAGGTGTGGGATCCTCGCCATGAGCAGGCTCTTCACCGCCACCTAAAGCCTCGTCCCTCTGCTGCTCTTCCTCCTCCCAGGTACTTTCTGCCTGAGGACTGTCCACAAGTTTTAACCTGGTTACAAACTTGCTTTGGGAATTCAAGCAACTTTGATCCTTGGCCTCAGTGGAAAGTCCAGTTTTTTCTGAAAGGCACATGGCAGTATTTTCTAAACATTCATGGTGTGGCTCTACCACCAGCTCACTGTCAAGAGAGTCCCCACTTACATTCATGGGGTGTGATGACCCCCAAGTTGCAGGAGGTGGTTGTGGCACAGTATGAAACGCCTGTGTGCTCTGGCCACCTACAGAGCTACGCTGAGATTTCCTGAGTGGCTTAGAGCGCTTGTCTTCATGGGTAGAGTCAGACCCAAGTTCTGTGATGCCTTTCTTAGCAATCTTTTTCTCAGGATTCCTTGGTAGCCTTGAGCTTTCATTAGCACCCAAATGGCTAAAGGAATCTGCCCTAGCTTCAGGGACAGAAAGTGAGCGGTCACCTTTTGCAGTTGTAGTCGAGGGCTCAACAGCAGTGCTGTCTGCTGGCCCACATTCCATATTGACACCTCTCAGCTCAAGGGTATATGCCAAGAGCACTTCCGGTTCCCTGTAGGAGCTCTGACCTTTCTCATTCATGTCACAGGTCCTAGAATGTAGTACATGGGGTGAGTGAACAGTATGCAAAACAGCCTTGGTCCTCTTCTCTGGATCACCATCTCTGTAACATGAAGAGTTGGAGGAAGAAGAAGGCCAGGCATGAACAGCAACGGGTTGAAAATTGCATGGTTCTCGACAAAGAGTTTTGTTTTCTTCCCCTCTAGATGGGCTGAGTGTCCTGCTGCCTTGCGCGCTCCCTGAGAAAACAAAGCAATCTAGTTTCCTTTGGGTATCTACAAGGGGCCTCCTCCCTCACTCCCCCAGTACTTATGCTAGGTCTTTGATCTGGCAATAGAGGTGGTCTAGGATGTTTGTTGCCAGCCCTGAAGGTGTCAGTCCAAACCCAATACGCTGTTTCCAAACCACATACCACTATGTAGGAGATAGTTCAACTTCACTCAGGGATCCTGGGAGAATAGCATGTTGTTGGGGACATGCCTTCCCTTCTAACCCAGTGGAAGACTCAGAGTATTGGACATGATCTTGCTTAGGGGCTAAGAGATATGCAGAATTTTGAACATAACAGGCCACAGGCTGATTTTTTCAAAATGACCTTCTTGTACAGTCATTAGAAAGTTACCTGGGGCCTGGTGGTGGCCTAGCACCTAAAGTCCTCACCTTGAAAGCACCAGGATCCCATATGGGCGCCGGTTCAAATCCTGGCAGCTCCACTTCCCATCCAGCTCTCTGCTTGTGGCCTAGGAAAGCATTAGAGGATGGCCCAAAGCCTTGGGACCCTGTACCTGCGTGGGAGACCTGGAGGAGGTTCCTGGCTCCTGCTTTCGGATTGGCACAGCACCGGCCATTGTGGTCACTTGGGGAGTGATTCATCGGATGAAAGATCCTTTTCTCTGTCTCTCCTCCTCTCTGTATATCTGACTTTGCAATAAAAATAAATCTTTAAAAGAAAGAAAGAAATTTACCTGAAAGTTCTCCATATGCAGAATCCACAGTTCTAGGTTCCTGGTGCTCTGGACTGCTGTTCTGCCTGCCAGGATACATGTCTTCTGCATGCTCCCATGCAGCAAAGTGACTCTGTCTACATGGAATCATTTCAGCATCGTCACAATAAGCCTTAGGAGATAAGGCAACCATGGCTTTCTCTGATATGTATCCCCTGACTCCTTCTACAGCTCTTGCAGAAAGAAAACTGCCCAAGGCCAGAGGATCAGCAAAGGTGAGTGTTCTTGCCTCTGTCTTTCTCTCCGTGGTTTCAGAAGAGCTCAAGCAACCCATGAACTGCTTGTCTCCTCCCAGAGAAGGCTTTAGTTCTCTAGTACAGCATTCTTTGTCTGCAAGAGAGGCGGGAGGAGAGGAAGCGTGTGAAGGATGGCAGGGCCCTCTTTCAGATTCAGTGTTGGGCAGAATGTGAAGGCTGTCTGCAGCAGTGGGTATGATCTGGCCTTTCCTCTTGTTGGTTGCTACAGATGGACATGACATGGGAAATTCCTGCACTTCACCCTCACTTCTTGTCCTGTATAACACAAGATGATCCATTTGTTCATAGTAAGATTGGCCAGCGGCCCTTGAAGAGAAGTCAGGTAAAGTTTCACGATGAGGCAGGGCAGTCTCCTCTGCTACAAAGTCACTGAGCTGCTTTCTTTGGGCCTTTGCCTGTCTGATCTCTTCCAAGATAGCCAGGCACACAGATGCATGGATAGAAGGTTCCAATAGGCTGGGCTCTGGATTGGGCACTCTGGGCAAGGAAGCAGATGTTAAGAATACACCACTGCGTTCAAGATCCTCAGCCTCCTCCTCTTCCCTCTGCCTTGACTGCCTGCCTTGGTCATTACCATCATCTAAGGTGAAATGGACCCTCTTTTCAAACTGCCTAGAGATCCTGTCCAAAGTACTGGTTCTTGATTCCTGTTGTAGAGAGGCCTCAGTCCTGGAAGTAAAACCTTCCCTGTCACTGAAACCCACTGAGGTGATTCTGAGGTTTCTTTCTAGGTCCTGGGGACTTGTGCTTGATATCTTGTCCTCTATCCCTAGAAGAATATCCCCACAGCTCAGAGCCATGGATATTGCAGATGCATGATAAGCAGTGTGCTCCACAGAGAAGGCCCCTCTAACATTTTCCTCATGGAAATGGATTCCAGTCTCTCCATTCTGGTCCTGATGCCCTGGTACCAATGGAGTCTCATGAATTTTCAATCTTGTGGGATCCAGCAAATCCAAAGAAGCATCTGTAGTAACAGGGGCATGGAGATGGTATTTCGGTGGTCTTGGAGAAATCAAGGGTGATGTATCACTTATGCCCAGGGGAGAAGGAGCTGCGGTGAAGCCTGTCTGGCTCAGTAACGGGCAAATAGTCTCTGGGCTGAAAGATGTGCTCATACAAAGCTGGCATGGACCAGGAAGTTCCTGGACTAATGAGACCACTTCACTTTCTTCCTGAAGGCCTCCATCGTTTCGCACAGCCATCACTCCAACACGGTCTTGAGGTTTTGATTCTTCTGGCTTGGAACTACTCACGTGGTTGGCAATGTGGCCTTCGTTAAAGTCTTCCACAGTCTTTAATTCCTTTTCCAAGTCTGAAGGCTTTTTTCCAAGCCTGAGACTGGGGCTCACTGATGCCTCTATTGACTTGTCACTCTCAAAAGACCTCTCAGGCCTAGACAGCAACGGCAGAGCTTCAACTAGTTCTTTCATTCTCCTTTGGTGAAAAGAAGTACTGGTGGATTCTCTGTGACCTGGGGACATCCCTAAAGAATCACATGTGTCCCTGGTGGGTAGGTCTAATCTGGCAGGGTGGGTGTGTGCTCTCAATAATTTCCCTTCTTGTGTATACTCCCAGGACCTGAAGGGGCTCCTGGTAATTTTCTGGGCCTGGGGATCATTTGCAATGTTACCGTAAATCTTTGTTTCTTCAGCTTCATTATCAGTAAAGATCCTATCATCTACTTGTCTGTACTGCTGGTCCTTGAAGATCAAATATTCTTCAGGACTGCCTGTCGTCAGGACATGGCCAGTTTTCTCCTGGTCCTGGAACAAAACCTCTTCATCAATTCCCAATGTTTGGGAAGCATGAAGCTGCATATTCTGCTTGGATCCAATTTCTAATATGCGACTCTCCAACTGCATGACACTCTCAATTAGCCTAGCCATTTCCTCTGCACTACTAACACTTTTACTCTCTTCCTTTCCTGAGGTTTCTTCTTTAGGGCATAATATTTCTTGGCCAGGGCCCTTGTGTGCACCAAGGTCTCTTTCCTGAGAACACGTAACTGGCTGGCATCTGTCATAAACAGACTCTGTCCCTGCAGGTTTACTCTCCTCTGAGCTGTCTTTGAGATGAAGTGTTTTTACCTGAAGCCCAGTTCCATCCTTCCCTTCCCATTTGCAGGCGAAATTCTCTTCCTGCACCATCACTGGGCTGCTTTCTCTATGGTGTAGTGTTCTGGACTTCAAAGAAACCATACCCTCCCCTGGCCTGGCCTTCTCAAGATCTGATCTGGGGGGTTGATAGATGAAATCAGACTTGACAAACTGTCTGCCTGTATCATGGGTCTGGGTCTGACTTAGGACTGAAATCTGATCCTGCTCTTCTTCCCCACCTGTCTCAGATTCACAAATGAGTAGTAAAGGCTTCCCAGACCCAGAGCTGTCTGAGGAAACATTACCACAGCACTGGGCAGCAGTCTCTTTTCCCTCCATGCATGCAGGAAGATTATACTTTTTATTTAAAATGCTAACTTGATTCTCAAATTCACATACTTCTGTGCTTGTAGAAGAGATAAAATGTTTGTCTTCAGCAACAAAAAAATTAATGGAATCCGAGTTACTGCTTTCTTCTTTAGCACTTCCAAGGTATTTCCCTAATTCTCTGATAGTTTCCCTGGCTTTCAGATCAACTGATACCTCTGCTGTCACCTGCTGAGAGGAGGCAGTCTTGGCACTCTGGTTTCCTGACAGCACTGACAAGTTATTCTCTGAATAAACATTCTGGAGGTCTTGGTGGTCATGACGAAAGCCCCAGGCTTCCCTAAGGGGAGGGGAAGGCACCCGCAACTCTCTGTAAGCTGGAATCTCCAGGGCGGTCTCTGTCAGGGCATCTCTGCTTTTGGTCACATAGAATGTTTCCAAGGGAGGTGGCTGCAGGGAGGACGGGAATGAATTCCAGGGGGCAGAGTGGAGGAACAGCTCTGGATCCAAGGAAGCGGCAAAGGAAACATCTGTCTGTCTCCCAGCTACTTCCTGAGAGCTGTCCTGGCATTCTGCCTTCTCTTCCTGCAGGGAACTGTGGCTGTCATGACTTAACTGCTCTGACTGGATGATGCTAGGTTTCCTGAGAGGAGTCCAACTGTGGTCCGCTTTGGCGGCTATGGTGATGTAATTATGACAAAAATTCTTTTGAAAGAAATACTCACGAGAGGATGTTATCAATCCAGATTTCCTACTACCCTGAAAGCACTCTTTAAATTGGTTCTGTTTGATGTTCTTGTTCTCTGCTGCAAAGATCTGTGCCTTTGTAGATCCAGAAGCCAACGACTCTATGTCGGCTGAATAGGTTTCATTGTAATTCACCCCTTTCTCACTAGTGCTAAAGAAATCTGATGTACTTTCTAACTTGGCATTCAAACTATCCTGTTCTTTCTCTGCTCTTAAATGTCTAATTTTGGATTGATGGATTTGAAAGTTGTTGAATACTCCAGAACTAGGTGCCATAACAGAACCTCCTCCTTTGCCAGAAGCCTCTGCCAGGAAACTAGAGTCTTTCCCAAGGCAAGGGAAAGCTACCCTGGATTCTCCTATGGCTTCAACGACAGGATGAGAGAGTTCAAGGAGGTACTTTTGCTGAAGGGCAACCCAGTCCCTTTCGCAGGTGTTACCTACATAAGTAAATGAGGCAGCAGAGGCAGCCAGCACACTGGACACACTGGAGTTCTGGGAGGCTTCAGAGTTGCCCTGCTGGGTCACATCAGCAATGCCTCCATCCTGAAGGACACCTTCAGCTCCTGGTTGACGCTTTTCTTCTTCCCAAAGAGAGAGCTTGGATGTATCAGTGGTAGAGGTTGTATAGACATTTCCCAACTGGCAGGGTAGCGCAGCACTATCTTGGGAAAGTTTGGAGCTGCATGGGAAGACTGTTTCTGCACCTGCTGACTTTAGTTCTTCAATATTTAGCCAGTAGCCAGGCCTCTCCCTACCACAGGGCTGCACTTCCTGCATTTCAGGACTTGGACATGAGGAACCCACCATTGCTGGGGGGCTGCTGGGACTGATCTTGGAGTCACAGGAAAACCAAGAATCCTTTGACACCAATGGACTCTCTCTTGAATGTTGCATGCCTTGCAGAGAATTGACTCGTTCAGAGTTACTTGCCTCTACTTCTGACTCAGGCTGCTCACAGTGGGGCTGGACTTGAGGATTCAGGTCAAATGAACTTCTCACTGGCATCTTGGTATCCAGTCTAGCTCCTGTTTGGTGGCTGACAGGACCAAGCCTGCAGATGGCCTCCTGCTCTACTACCGGCCGACTGGAGTTCTGCTGGTGCCAAAACGTTTCTGCAGGCATCTCGTCAGTTGAACCAAGGAGAGTCCCTTTTTGCTGATCTCCCTCCAATTCTTTCTCAGCATCCATCAGGCTATTCAAGAAAAAGCTTCTGTGAGCCTGGGCAAGTAGGCCACTGTCTGAGGACACAGTGGTGAAGTGGCTCTTGGTGGCTATATTTCTAGTCCTAGGGTGGCCACGGTCACTGGTCGTATGCTTGGTCCTTGGGCTGTCTTTTGAGCTTTGGTACCTCTTTCCAGCCAGTGAGTCCTCGGATATTTGACTGTCATCACTTTCGGAGTTCTCTATCCCTGGGAGATCCCACCTCTTCTCCTTAGAGTCCTCCGGGTTCAGTGGCTCTGTCTGGGCTTTGGCACAGACATAGCTGAGAGAATCCTCCGAATAACTGCTATCTGTATCAGAAAAATGACGGTCCTTTCCTCTTGTGTGACGCATTCCAGGGCTGGAATCTGTGAGTGGGGCCATGATGTCTGGGTCCCCTGTAATATACTGTCTCTTTGAAAGACTACCACGTGGCACATGAGAGGATGTTCTGGCAAGGTCTTTGACCCTAGCTACCAGAAACTTTTGATGCCTTTTTGATGCCCTGCTTAAAGAAGGTAGTTTGGATTCTTCCTGAAAAGCCTTGACTGCCTTTCCATGGCCAGCTGCCTGCTTGGGGACATGGGGATTTGGGGAGCCTTTCACTGGTCTGTGGGTTCCAAGCTTTTCTTCTTTTTGCCACTCAGCTTGTGAGGGGTTGGTCACTTCTTTAGTCCTTCTGGTCATGGTAGGTGTGCGGACTTTGGGCTCAGTCTTCAACTTTATCTTTTTAATTGATTGGCTCAGAGAAGTTAGGCCCTGGGACACCAGCTCACGGGGCTGCTTACCCACTCCCTCCCTTTCGACAAACTTGGGGCTCACAGTGAGGTGTGTGCCTGGAATTGGGGGTCCCTTCCTGGCCAAGACGCCTCTGGCTGCAAAAAATTGCTTCTGGCCTGGGAACCGGAGCCTGCTCCTATGGAGCCGTACTGTTCTGGCAGGGTAAGCAGCAGCCTTGGGGAAATGTTCTTCCGATGGGGTTTTCTCTAATACTTGGTGAGTAGGATTAGGCATTGGTGGTAATATGGTGGACAGATCCCAATTCAGGAAAGCACTGTGGAGACAAGGAGAGTGATTTCAAAAACAGTCAGCAGTTCCTGTAGGTTTCAGGATCAGAGAAGATTTATAGGTACAAAGGGAAACTGTGGGCTATGGCCCTAGTTCTCAGAGAAGCCCCAAGTACAATATGTCCCTTCATTTCTCTGACAAAAATTTTGAATTCAATTTGAAAATATATGTAGAGAAAACCTTCAACAAAGCAATGTGAGGAAAATAGGAACAATTTAAATAAGAAATGAAACACATAAACTTATAATAGATTCATTCAATAGAACTGATGTGCTTTCAATAATAAACCAATAAAATGAACAGAAAAAATAAAACACAAACAATGATTAAAATTGGGCCCAGCATGGTAGCCTAGTGGGTAAAGTCATTGCCTTGAACGCACCAGGATCCCATATGGGTGCTGGTTCTAATCCCGGTGGCCCCGCTTCCCATCAAGCTCCCTGCTTGTGGTCTGGGAAAACGGTCAAGGACGGCCCAAAGCCTTGGGACCCTGCACCCACGTGGGAGACCTGGAAGGGGCTCCTGGCTTCTGGCTTTGGAGTGGCACAATTCCGCCTATTCTGGCCACTCCCATTGGGGAGTGAATCAGCAGATGGAAGATCTTGCTCTCTGTATATCTGACTTTCCAATAAAAATTAAAAAAATCTTTTTAAAAATACAATGATTACAATAAGTTTAAAGGATCATCATTTCTTTTTTAAGATTTTTATTTTATTTTTATTGGAAAGTGGATATACAGAGAGGAGAGACAGAGAGGAAGATCCTCCGTCCGATGATTCACTTCCCAGGCGGCCGCAATGGCTGGAGCTGAGCCAATCCGAAGTCAGGAGCCTCTTCCGGGTCTCCCACGCGGGTACAGGGTCCCAAAGCTTTGGGATATCCTCGACTGCTTTCCCGGGCCACAGGCAGGGAGCTGGACAGGAAGCGGGGCTGCCGGGATTAGAACCGGCGCCCATATGGGATCCTGGGCGTTCAAAGTGAGGACCTTATCCATTGTGCCATCACGCCAGGCCCTACAATAAGTTTAAAACACACTATCACATCCGGTTTGCAAACATTATTGGACCTTGACTTGACAAAACAATGTAAATAGATACTTTTGAAGCAATGAGAAAATTTCAAATATGACTTGGGTTTTACATCATATAAAATTATTAAACAGCTTTAAAAATATTTCAAAAGTCAGAGTTACAGAGTGAGGGTAGGAGACAGAGATGTTCCATCCACTAACTCACTCCTCACATGGCCAAAACAGCAAGCATTGATAAATGTGCAACGACATTACAATTATAACAATACCTGTATTATTATTTTTTTAGATACACAGAGAGGAGGAGAGACAGAGAGGAAGATTGTCCATTCTATGATTCACTCCCCAAGCGGCCAAAACAACCAAAGCTGCGCCGATCCGAAGCCAGAAGCCAGGAGCCTCTTCCAGGTCTCCCACTTGGCTCCCACTTGGGATTAGAATCAGCGCCCATATGGGATCCCTGCGCCTTCAATATGAGGAGTTTAGCTGCTGGGCCACAGCGCTGGGCCCAATAAAATGGTTTTAAAAGCCTGCCTAGGGCCCGGCGCAGTGGCGCAAGTGGTTAAGGTCCTCGCCTTGCACGCCCGGGATCCCATATGGGCGCTGGTAATCCCGGCAGCCCCGCTTCCCTTCCAGCTCCCTGCCTGTGGCCCAGAAAAGCAGTCGAGGACAGCCCAAAGTTTTGGGACCCTGCACCCGCGTGGGAGACCCGGAAGAGGCTCCTGGCTTCGGATCGGCATAGTATCGGCCCGTTGCGCTCACTTGGGGAGTGAATCATCGGACGGAAGATCTTCCTCTCTGTCTCTCCTCTCTGTATATCCACTTTCCAATAAAAATAAAAAATAAATAAAAATTTAAAAAAGGCTGCCTAGCACCCTAGAGACTCAAGAGGTGAGCAGACATAGCACATATTAACAGATAATAACTGTGAAGTTCCTGCACACAGGTTCCTGGGATACACAGAGGCTCTACAGCAAGGGGTCAGAGGCTAACTGACCTTTCCCTTGACTGCATAAAGGCATGAAGGACCAGAAAGGAAGACAGGTTGCTTATTCACCAGGCACAAACTGGAGTCTGGAAGCTTGTGGCAGTTCAGGGAGGAGCTGGCAGTGTACAGGAACAGGTTCACTGCAGGCCTTACGGGGGCAGTCTGGGTTTAGATTTCAAAAAAATGAGGTTGAGATCCTTGTTCATAAGAAATCACAAAAACCACAAGAGTTCATAATCTGAGAAGGCTGAATCTGAAAGGATATAGAGAGAAAGAAGAAAACTGGAAGGGAAAAAAGTAATGAGGAAGAAACATGTAAACCTATTCCCATTTCACAGACTGAGGAATAACAAACACTGCCTGGACACCAGGCTGTAAACAATCGGCAAGTGCAACCAGAGGACTGCTTCTGGGCTGTACCTGTGTAGCTGGGGCAAGTGCTGGCTGCAGAGATTTCGGAGGCTCAAAAAATTGTGACTTGCTGATTTGTTTCGGCACTGAAGCGCAGGGACTGAGGCATCAGAACTGGGAATCCAGCGTGAGGGCTTCTCGGCGCCTCCATCCTGGAGCCAGGACAATGCCCTGAGCTGCTCCAGTCTCCTCTGGGTCTCCAGGAGCCTTCGCTTCTTGATGCCCCTTGCCAGCTGGAATGAGTCCTTCTTACGTCGACTGCTCCCCTCTGCTGCCCGAATAGCGTGTCTCCACAGGAGCAGCAGTGGAGCAACCTTCTTCTGGCTTCGGACCAGCTGGGATGGTTGACGCTCAAGATCTGTCCGAATCCAAGCATCAGGTGTGACAAGAGCCTCACATTCTTTCTGTACTCCACAGCTTTCTTGCTGCTGTTGCTGGAAGCCCCCCAACCAGGTCTCTTCTCTGAGCAGCCACTGCTGGTCTAGGAATCAAGAACACCAGGGCAGAAGATCAGCATCCCCCTTTACTGTGGCTGTTCAGATTCAGACACCTCCAGCTACAGTTAGATCTGAGTGGAAGGGAAGGGCCAGCCAGGGTGATGTGGAAGGATGAGGGTTGCAGGGCCCTGTTATCTCAGGGGAGGCAAATATACATCTCCAGGCCTCAGTACAACCGAGGCACATGGTAGAGCTAGCAGTCAAGCATGGGGAAGTATGTCAGGGAGGCATTCTGAAGGGCCAAAAGGAAGCTTCCTTCTAGCTTCCAGGACCCTCCTGTAACAACCCCTAGTTGCTCAAAGAAGGGAGAGAATGCCTAATACCAAAGATTCCGCCATGTCATAAAGGGACCAAGAAGAGAATATGGAAGACTGGGAGGCATAAAAATGAAGGAATCAGAAGACAGGCATACACCTTCAATGAGGAGCACCTACTGTCTTTAACCAGCTGGCTAATGCAAGCCTTGTCAAGTCCCAGGACCTTCTCAGCTCTAATCTGTTCTGCTAGGATTTGGTGCCTCAAACTCTCCACATAACACGGCTGCTGCAGAATGTGGGCTCGGTGGGAAGTGTCTCCATCCTTCAGCAGTTGGTGGTTCTTGCCGCACTGCTCTTCTAGCACTGTCCTGTGACAGAAGGGGTCGGTGTTATCCAAGCGGGAGGAAAAACCAAGCTCAAGACAAACGGGTGACAGTCTCAGCCCCTCCGAGAGAGCCCTGCAGTTCACCGGGGAGCCAAGGCCTCAGACTTCTGGCAACCTGGGACAAACAAGCCATGTCACAGTCACCAGCTCATGATGTCACAGTGCAGGAGGGGAAGACGGGTACCAGTCTAGCAAATTCTTAATCTGTGGGTTTAGCAGGAACATAAATTCATTCATGTTTCAGAAAATCACTAAGAAAGTAATACAAATGTCTCAAAAGAGGGAGGGCCACTCTTAAAAACTCAAGAGCTCCAGCCTCAGTTCTGAGCCCTTTGATATTTTCTACTGTTTCACTTGCCCAGACTCATCTTTTACTTCATGGAGCCCAATACCAGGAGCCAACACTCACTCAACACCAGGATCATCTGGCCCCTCGCTGCTCTCCCATGAGGACTTGCCTGTTAACAGGTCCCTAAATTGTAGCACTTTTGCACCCAACATCCTGTACCACCACAGACCTAGTACCATCATCATTTGCCATCAGGCACTGCCGGCTTGAGGAAGGAGTAGCTGGAGCCTTCTGAAGGGAGTAAAAGGCCACCACAACCCCTCTCAAGATACTTCAGGGACAGCCCTGCTCTCAACGTACTTATCAGGCTCCTGAGTATGATTTCCATAGGAAACCCCTAAGGCATTTTTACTTATAGGAATAGAAAAAGTCACAGTACCAAGCTCATACACATTTAGGCCTGGGAAGAATCACTGTGGAAACAAATGAGATATGAATGTGAAATAGAAAATTGGTTACCATCAATCACAGTTAAACTGTGACTCAATGTTCCATAGTCGATAGTGGGTATGACAGGGCAGAACCCCAAGACCTTTTCAGTTTGCTTCTGTAGTTCCTATGCCTCTTACGCATAGTTCTGGATTATTGGTTATCAGAAAAAAGTAATTCTCATTAAACTTATAAGGCTCGAGGTGTTCAGAACCAGAAATCCACACAGAATACAGCTCAGCTTAAAACAAGCTTTACTGGGGGTGAACCTTGGCTAAGTTCAGTGGTCTGCAGAGACAGCAGGCCAGGGAAGTCATGCCCAGGGGATGTGAGGGGTTGTTTTTATTAAGGGGCTTTAAAGGTAGGGGTGGGGGGACAAAGAAATATGCCTTATAAGGTGCTAGAGTGTTATATATGCTCTCTCTGACTCAGTGAATCTGTACGTCACTGCTGGCCAAGAAAGGAGCTGTTTTCTCCCAGTGCAGCCTTATCAGCCACCATTCTCAGCCTCCTCCTAGGCTGCCCCTCACCCGCCCTGGCAGAGCCTTAGAACACTATCTTTAAGAACACTATCTTGGGCCTGGCGCGGTGGCGCAAGTGGTTAAGTCCTCGCCTTGCACGCCCGGGATCCCATATGGGCGCCGGTTCTAATCCCGGCAGCCCCGCTTCCCTTCCAGCTCCCTGCCTGTGGCCTGGGAAAGCAGTCGAGGACGGCCCAAAGCTTTGGGAGCCTGCACCCGCGTGGGAGACCCAGAAGAGGCTCCTGGCTTCGGATCGGCCCGTTGCGCTCACTTGGGGAGTGAATCATCGGACGGAAGATCTTCCTCTCTGTCTCTCCTCTCTGTATATCCGCCTTTCCAATGAAAAAATAATAAAAATAAATCTTTAAAAAAAAAAAAAAAAAGAACACTATCTTTAAGGTATTGTAGTAAAATGGAAAAAATTTGTCAGGGGGTAGGACTTTGGGGGGGACAAAGCAAAGGGAATTGTAACATATAATTCAAAATTCAAAATAAAAATATATTTAAAAAAAAGAGCACAGAGACAGCCAAAATTTCTGGAATACACAATCTGGCCACTTAGGTAGGCCAGAATTAAGAGAAACACACAGCAGGTAAGTTACAAGAAATATCAATGGTATCTCCAAACACTTGGCAGTTAGACACTGCTGACACAGCAAAGTGACAGCATGAGTGTCAAATGGGACACCTCTTATAGTAATGAAGAAAGAAGAAAAAACAAAGAGGAAATAAATAAGGGCCGAGACAGCTCCTCAGTCAACTCTAAGCTCAGCAGCTAGTCCAGCATCTTCTGACCACTTGCCCAAGTTGCTTCAAACCTGGCCTTGTTTAGTCCTTGGCTGCTGCAGTAACCACCACCTTACTCCACGTGGTTACCAGGTTAAGAAGCCACATTAGTATCAGTATAAACCATTTCTCACCTTTTTTTCCAAAGCAAAGGGCAGACACCCAGATGGGAGGCAGTGACATCTCCACCCAAGTCCAGCCATTCCAAAGAGCCACTGCCACCAACAGGCTCTCCAACCTGGAATGAGAAAGAAAGGACAGAAGCCAGCTGTCTTTATCCCCAGCCCAACAGAACTGGACAAAGCTCAAGCTTCTCTGTCAAAGAGGAGGAAGAATCAGGCCAGCCGAGAGCTGGAAAACACAGCTGTGCTAACCTGCCTCCGCTGCCGTAGGATAGCAGCCTCTGCTGGGTGGTTGAATCGGAATTTCTGTGCTTTCCCCAGGGTTATGACAGCTCCTACAGCAGACACAAATGGAAACTCAATCAACAGATCACATTTGGATAACACATCACGCACAGGGAATTCTGTGAGACAAAGTCATGTCCCCAACTAATTTACAATTCAGCTGACTTGATAGGATACATATTAATTATATAACTCATACCATATGTATTAAATTAACAAACAGGCGTGAGGAGCTTTAGTTCTCCAAGGACAAGCAGAGTGAATTCCAGGCAGAGTTGTCAAGGAAAGCGTCACAGAAGAGAAATCCTAAGGTCAGCCTCGACAGATTTTGAGTGGACAGAAGAGAACAATAGGGACAGTGACACAATAAAAACAAATATTTACAAAGTACCAAACATACTGTTGCAAGTTTTGTAAGAGTAAGATTCATTCAATCTTCCTAATTCTATTATTGTCTCCATCTTACAGATGAGGAAACTGAGGCTCAGAAGTTTTTCCAAGAGCACAGCACACACACACAGAGGAACAAATGACACTGGGCCATCTTCAGATCTCTGGATACAGAGATTGGCTAATCCATCTGTAAAGGTTGCTACACTGGGCTCTAGATCCACGAGATTAGAACAGGTCCATACTTCATCCTGGCATAGACAGGGCTGTTCACACAGTCCTACCTTGGGTCAAGCGGCAGGAGGCAGTGACCTCTCGGCCATTGACTGTGCAGCGAGCTCCCTGGACGGGTCGGAGAATGACTACCCCACAGGCACTGGTGATAGTACAATGATCTCTCTCGATCCACTGACCCTGCAGGACTATAAAAGAGGTGGTGGTCACTAGGGTGTGGGAACAATCCTGAGCAACATTCCCTCTATGCTTTCTATGGGATCAGAGTCCAACACTGGATGAACTCACATCACAAGGCAGGAGGAGTCATGATGGGAAACTACTCAGCCAGAAAGCTTCCCCTCCCAGACCCAAAACCTAACAGCAGAAAATAGAAGCAAACTCTTCATATTTTAGAGTCCCTTCCTCTCAGAAAACTATCAAATCATTTGGAATAAACACTGCAGGCACAAACACTTGTAATAGGGCCAGATCCAGGTTCTGTCACTTACCAATGTCCTGTTCCTGATCTGAGTCAATCCTTCCTATCTTTGTTGTCCCTTCCTAAAAAAAGGAATGGATGCCATTTTTAATGAGAATAAATGGCATGGTGCTTACCCACAAGTGACTCTTATCACCACCCTTCCATCCCTATCCCAGGTTTTGCAGTAACTTGTTCTAACTTTTGTCCAAGCTGTCCTGACCCTCTGCCACACATCCTGCACCCAAGAAGCCTCTGATAGGACAGAGACTCTCTCTATATGTGTTATTTGCAAAGTCCAACCAAGTTTTGGAAAATACCTTTCTGTCTCACATCCAGAATTTAGGGAACATTGGTCAGAAATTCCTTAACCTGAAGATATTGTCATACAAATGCAGTTTTTCCCGAAGGGGCTAAGATAAGCACATTACAAGTTTAACCCAGGAAGTCACAAACAATTATTTTATGAGGACTTATGGAAACCCAGAATTTTTACCTTTTGGTCCACAGATGAAGTTTAATAGATATCAGATTCTAAGAAGGCTAAGGCATTTATAGGACAAAACACCTGGACAATCAAAAGAACCAGAAGAGAGTGTGAGAGGAAAAGGAAACAGGAGTTAGTACAAATGCATTGCTAGGTTAGCAGCAGACAAGGGTTTCTGTTCTTGGGTTTTGCTAAATTTGCCTCAGACCACAGAGCTCTGTCTGGGGAAGGTGGCAGCCTGGCAACAGAGATGCTGTTTTTTATAGCTGTATCATTCACTAAGTAACCATTCAGTCATTATGTCCCAGGAATTATGCTGAGCGCTTTACAGACATCAACTTAATTTAATCACTTAAATACAGGCAGGCATCATTGTCTTCTTTTTATAGATCAGGAAATTGAAGTTAACAGAGCATAAACTGCTGAAGAAATATGCTTACTAAATATAAGATCTATCAGAGTTTTACTCTCCTGGATCCTAAGCTCATGCCTCTCCAAGCTCACTACACCACTCTTCCAGTAACGGATGGCTTTCAGAGTGACTAGTTTCCCTCGCATATTCACTGTCAGCAGTCAGAGCAAGGAGATCCCTTCATGCCCAAAAAGAGTTTCTAAGAAGGAAGAATCCTGGTTGGTAAAGAATGAGGCTGTGATTTTACTACTGCTGTGTCTCCCTCCAACTATCCTGCCTATATACACCACACCAGCAGCCAGAGCCTGTCCTTCTCTGCTCAGACAGGACCAATGAAGAGTAATGGTTGGAGCCTCCATAAACACAGTGAAGCAGAAATCAGAGGGCAATCTAAGGGAAGGAGGTCTAAGCCTTTAGTGTGTGTTTAAGAATAGCCTGATAGGAACATTCCTTACAAAAGGAGAAAGGCCATAGCAGAGGACAACTCCTGTATGTGCAGGGCATAAAACTACCAATAAAAGTGATGGCATCTGAGATAACAAGAATCTGAGTTGTGTATCTATGTTTATTGCCTACTCTGCCCCTTTATGTAGAGAGAGTTAGCAGTACAAAAGCAATTCTTAGGACAGAAATCTTGCAGTATGCATCTCTACTTCCAATGCAAAGATGGAATCCAGGTGAAACTGTTAAATATATATTGTCCATATCTGCAATGTTGGGATACACTGGACAAACAGAATGATGGACTTATGACTGCTTATGAAGTAACAGCATAAGGGAAATCAGTGAGGGGGAGGGAATTTGGGGAGAGGGCAAGGGAAATCCCAGAGCTATGGAGTTACATCAAAAAATAAAACATAAAATTTAAAAAAGATAAAATCTTACTGATATAAATATCAGTACCCTATGTTTTATCCAAGCTTCCTTCTGCTCCTTTCTTAATCAAGGATCTTTAAAAGGTGATCTATGGGAAAATAACTTCCAGAGTACTGCCAAGGAATAGGTACAAATCTGTAACCAAGTTGGTGAAGTTAAAAAAAAAAATTCAGACCGTAGGTACTATACGGCAGCAGGTAAGACACTACTTGGGATCTCCTCATTCCGGGTTGTGTGTCCTGGTTCCTACAATCCAGAACCAGCTCCCTGTTGATGCACCTTGTAAGGCAACAAACAGCCAAGATATTTGGATTCCTGACACCTATGTGGGACATCTGGAAAGAATTTCTGTCTCTTTGCTTTAGCCTGTGTCAGTCCAGCTGTTATGGTATTTCGGGAATAAACCATTGGGTAGAAGACCTCTCTCACTCACTCCCTACCTCTCTAACCCCACCAACCCCCTTTGACACTCATTCAAATAAATATTTTTAAAAAGGCACATAAAGGAACTGGCATGGTAGCCTAGTGGCTAAGGTCCTCGCCGTGCATACACTGGGAATCCCATGTGGGCACCAGTTTGTATCCCAGCTGCCCTGTTTTCCACCCAGCTCCCTGCTTGTGGCCTTGGAAAACATTCAAGGATGGCCCACAGCCTTTCGACCCTGCACCCGCGTGGGAGACCAGGAGGAAGCTCCTGGCTCCTGGTTTTGGATTGACTCAGCTTTGGTCACTGTGGCCACTTAGGGAATAAATCAGCGGATGAAAGATCTTTCTGTCTCTCTTTCTCTCTATAAATCTTCCCAATAAAATGAAATAAACATTTTTTAAAAAAGGAGGGGGTATATAGCATACAGGAATGCTAGGATTAGAACCAGGCTAATGGGCCTGGCACAGTGGCCTAGCAGCTAAAGTTCTCATCTTGAACACACCAGGATCCCATGTGGGTGCTGGTTCTAATCCCGGCAGCTCCATTTCCCATCCAGCTCCCTGCTTATGGCCTGAGAAAGCAGTTGAGGTGAATCATCAGATGGAAGATCTTAATCTCTGTCTCTCCTCTTCTCTGTATGTCTGACTTTGCAATAAAAATAAATAAATAAATCTAAAAAAAAAAAAACAGGCTAAAACTTCATCAGTTTGGTCTACTGGAAATGACACAAATAGAGAACAAAATCCTCACTTTGCACTCCCTAAGCAATGAAAATCAGCATGCCTATATTGAGATGAGGTCATCCCTTGTCTCTAGTCACACCCATTAATCTGTGCTATTCTACTGGTCTACCACTTAACTTCTAGGTTTGCTTGTCCACTCTGCATCCAGGCAATAAACAGATCAGTTCTACCTAAATACTGACCATTTTCACTAATCTGGTCTCTTTCTGACCCCCAACTTCCTCATGTGATTTTAGTTATTGGAAAAATCTTCTGGTTTACAATTTTTGTTGCTAAGGTAAAAGGAGACGGCCATTTCTGTCCAAAGCATTGGACTGAGATGATCTGTGTGCAGTGTGCCGAAAAACAAGCTGCTTTGACTTTCTGTCTCAGTGGCTCAATCTCTGACAATTTCCCTAACATCTAGAAACACAGAAGAGTTTTGCTAACATCTCCTTAGCCTATGCTCTGCAGCATTAGGTGTTGGGATTTCTTCAAGGATAATATCAACATTACATATACTCTATAAACTGCTTTTCTTATAAAATACCAGTTGTCTGTGTGCGCATACACACACACACACGCCAGCACAGCAGCATAGCACATTAATTTTCCATCTATGACCTCAGTTCGAGTCCCTGCTGCTTTGCTTCACATTCCAGCTCATAGCCCTGGAAAGCTGCAGAGGATGACTCAAGTCCTTGGGCCCCCACACCCATGTGGGAGACCCTGACTTAGTTCCTGGCTTCTGGCTTTGGGTCAGCTCAGCTTCAACTTCTGTGGTCATTTGGGGAGTAAACCAGAGGATGGAAGATATCTCTCTCTCCATAATTTCTTCCTCTCAATTTACAGAAATAAATCTTTATAACAATACTAAATATCAGCTGGGGACAATTGTGAGAATGGAAATTGGGCTTCCTGTGAGCACTAGGATGTTGGCTATGAGAAGTTATGTTCCACCCACCATGGAAATTGCTCTTCCATGGCAGAGTCATCTGATGAGAACAATTGCCATTGATTACTAACGTGCAAAGTGACTTCATTTACAAATGATGACCTGTCAAAAGGCCAGTGGAGGGCCTTAACTCCACTGTTTTTCTAAATGGAATGTGCAATCTCCCTACCCAACACCACTCCAGCTCTTAGGATCCTCCCTCATATTTCAAGCTTTATCTAATTTCTTTATCTTCTTTTCTAGGTAAAGGTAGCAATGAAAAAGTGGGAGGTGCATTCTTAGGTTAATTTGTAGGTTAAATGAAACTGGGTAAAATTCTCAGCTCATCTGAATTACTGAATTAGAAGCATTGACATATTTGAGGTTAGTATTGTACTCCCATGAGTTCTCCCTTGTGCTTCAGAAGGCCAAAGAAGAAACATCACTCTTATTTTAAAATGAGGAAATTAAGGCACTGTGAACAAAAGTTATATTAAGAACAACAATAACAGCAGTTGAAAACCAAATGATGTTCTGATTTATATTCTTCTGTTTCATACTGATCACAACTGTCAACCAAACCCATTTGCTGACAGCAAACCTGAAGGCAGCTCTGTGGTCTCTGTTCCAATTCACAGAAACATGGCTGCTGCCCCGGTTTTCTGTCCTTGATCCCTGGGGCCAGTGGCTTAGGAAAAATGAGATGCAAGGAGCCTCCTCACCTTGAGATGATACAGCACAACACCTGTGCTGAGCACATCATCCTCCAAAGCCAAAAGGTGTGGCAGGCTAGAGTCAATCATGACCCCCGCCCTCCTCCTGTTGATGTCCACACTGTAATGCTCCATGACAGCCTGCCAATCATTCCACTTCTCAGTCCAGTCTTTAGTCAGCTGGTCTATCTGCGGAAGTACAAAAGGCAATCTTGGACACTTAGCATGGGGAGCAAATTAGAGGTCAGACCTGGCCTTTTTTTCCCCACCAAACCATTAGCCTGAACCCTAGAATAATGATAGGACATCAGACCCACTCCCAACGGACACAAACTACAACTCACCTTCAATTCATTTTGGAGAACTAGCTCCTTCAGATTTCCATCCTTTTCACTGTCCAGCCAACAGAAGTTCCTCTGCACAGACAGAAATATGCTGTGACACTTCCTTGGTGTGAACTTCACCTGGGACACCCTTACACTCACGGAGAAAGATGAGGTACAGATAAAGCAGACTTTATCATTAAAATCAGCAGTCATACTGATACAAGGGAGAAAAATCAAAAGAAATGTTTCTGGAAGACCCCATGTTCCATATCTGCCTGCACACAGAGTTAAGGCCCATTCAGGCAAATGCCCTTTGGACAAGAGATGATGCAACAAGAGGACGCCCACCCTTTCTGAAGCTACACAAAGAAATCAAAATATCCCTGCCATTGTCTAGCCCTGTTTTTGCTCCCCAAGTGTCACACTGAACCGACAGAAGCAGGAGGACTTAGACTCTGAAGATGAGAAAAGAGGTTCAGGAGGGTAAGAGAAAGTTCTGATTGCCTGTATACCAGTTCAAAGCTCAGCAACATGGCTTTCAGTCTCTCAATCTCTTCCCTGAGTTCTCGGATGAGCTTTATGTTCGCATCCTGAAATACAGAGAACTTGATCACCGCTGATTGATATGCAGCACTATATGCAATTAGCTAGGAACAAGATTACTTCTTTAGAATAACTTACAGAGATGTTCTCAAAATATGGGACCAGTAGTATTAACTTCACCTAAACATTTGATAGGAATGCAAATTCTGTCCAGAAGTACAAAACCAGCCATTCTTGAAGACCAGAATTTCACTGTATTTTTAACAAACTTTTCAAGTGCTACCTACATGCACTGAAGTTTGAGAATCGTTCCCGTGGGGCAATGATTAGGAGGTCAGGCAGGTAACACAAATTCCACCTTATATATCAGCAAAAAGTGCTAATTGTTTTTAAGCTGGATACCTTATTGCATGGCTTATGGTATAGTGAGGTAAGCCATAGCTTGAAGAGTTGGCATCCATATGGGCACTGTCCTACTTCTGATTCTATTACCTGCTAATGTACCTGAGAAGACAGCAGAGGATGGCCCAAGTCCTTGGATGCCTGCACCCAATTGAAAATCTACAAGAAGCTTCTGGCTTTGACTGGCCCAGCTCCAGCCACTGTAGCCATCTGGGAACTCAAGCAACAAATGGAAGATTTCTCTTTCTGTGGCTCTGCCTTTCTGATCATTCAAAAATTAAAACAGACTATGTGTCTGGTCACTAGTTATTATCCTGTTCCAGAATTTTTCACTAAAATTACCAAAAAAATTAAGAAATGCTTAGGTTGTGGGTGGAATCCCAGTACCTATAAAACTGTATCACATAATACAATGTTATTAACAATCAAAAAAAATTTTTTTGCACAAAAAAATGCTTAGGTTAGTCTCATTATGATTAGGCTTTCAAAATGAATTCCTTATAAGCAGAGTCTTCAGAAATTCATGGAAATGCACATTAGGAAAAAAAATTATCCATAGATTTTAAAATTAAATCAAATAAGTTTGTCTTTTAAAAATTATTTGAAACATTCTAATAGTCCATGTGTCTTAGGACTGAGAAGAATTTTGACACTACATATAAAAGTTTGAAGCAATAAATTTAAAAAGTCCTGTTTTCTAGGATGGGGGGAGTGTCTGAGAAGCAGAGACACCAAAAGGGGCTGAGAGCAGCACAACTCACAGCTGTGAGCTCCCATCTCTGTACCACTCCCTAATCAGCAATGGCCAGCACCGAGCCACGCCAAAACCAGGAACTCAATCTGTCTCCCCTGTGGGGCCATCACAGCTCTCTCTCAGGTTCTAGGTTGGTAAGAAGCCAGAGCCAGGAGCTAGAACTAAGTATTAAATCTAGATACTCCAATTTGGGGTTCGGTAACCTCAATTCCTAGGGCAAATGACAACTTTTAATTCCATTTTTCCATGAATTTTTTGAAGTATATTCATACTCAAAACAGAAACAATCGTTAAATTGTAAATCTTTATAAATAAATAAATAAAACCACAGGCATAAATGAATATCAATTCAAAACAAAAGTAGCCACTACAGAAACTTTTTAATGCCTTTCTTGGGAGTACCAAGGATCTGACTAGAAATTATCTCAAACTAATACCTAAAATAAGTTATTCATAAAAGTTTACTGAAGGAATTCAGTATAGATGTCAGAAAAGAATGGAGGAAAGAATGATATTGGAAAAAATATAATTCCCTCACCATTTGAAGAAAAAATCTGACAAGTTGAAGTGAGTATAAAGCAAAAGAAGTCAACAAGAGGAAAAAAAAGTTTGTGTAAACTATACCAGACGAGGATTCCTAATGATGGTCTTACCTCATTCACCTGTGGCTTGTTGATGATGTTTTTGGCACTGGATGCATACCTCAACGTGCTCATGGTTTCACTGTAGCTAGTATGCGCAGGAGACACAGCTGAAACAGAAGAAAATTAGACAAAAAAAGCCCTTCCAACCTAGCCCTTCATCCCCCTTGCTACTGCCCCAGGGACTGATGAAGTGGTCTGATCAGGACACTCACTGAGGCACAGTACAGTTCCACAAAGAGCCCGCCCCAGCAGCCCACTTACTGGCCACCATGATGGTTTTGGAGTTGCCTCCCAGGCTGTCCTTCAGCAACCAGGTCAGCACAGAATCCCGGTATGGGATGTAAGACTGCCTCCGCGGGGCCCTCCCTGCACTGGTCCCCCTGCTGCTGGCTACACAGCTGATGCTCTGGCAGCTGCTCAATCCTTGGGAGTTCTGGGCTTAAAAAGTTTAAAAGAAAAGTGAAAGAATGAATTATAAAGTAATATATTAAACAACTATTAAAGGGCACAGACTTCAGTATCATACTAATCCCTTCTGTATGTGATGGATGCTTTAAGCAACAAACTTGAATTAGACTTTGGACTCATGACATGCAACATTTGAGTCACATAATTTTTTAGTTTCTCCTCTTTCAGAAATGACAGAATTGGAGTGATGGTCACATGGTGCTCTAAAACTACAATTACAAAAGTTTAATGTCCTAAATAAGAAGGTTATCTTACCCAAGAGTACCTTGGGTACCATATTTTCGCAAAATGAAATTAGTGAGTTATTTTCCAAAGTTTCTCTCCCACTTTAATCATCTAACTTATCGGCAGGGTACCTAGGGTGGAGATGACGATCCCCAGAGTCACAAGGGATTTGTTGATGTTGGCTCCTTCAGTAATCCGGTCCTTACAATAACTGGGATCTGCTCTTTCACTGCAACAATGAAAACAAAAGCAATCACAAACAATATGCTACTCTTACAATGCTGTGGAGAAACTAGCCTTTACTTGGTACCATGATGTGAAAGAGTCACATGATAAATCCCTTTTAGTAAAAGATTCATCTTCACCAAACAATGTTAATATCGAAGAACTGTGATGCAGCAAGTTAAACAGCTGGTTACAGCACCGGCACCTCCTATGGACATTACTTAAAGACCCAGCTTCTCCGCTTCCAGTCCAACTAATGTGCTTGGGAAAGCACTGGAAGATGGACCAAGTGCTTAGGCCCCTGCCACCACCTGGAAGAACTATAAAGAGGTTCCTAGCTTCTGACTTCCTCTGGAGCCAGCCTTGGACATTGAGGTCATCCAGGGAATGAACCAGCATATAGAAGATTCTGTCTCTCCCTCTAACTGTGCGTTTTAATTAATAAATTTTAAAAAATCACTATCTGTTAATGAACTACTTCCTCAGGCAATAAAATCAAATGAGTCATTATATTTCTGGTTTGATTTTGGTTAGTAAGTGCTTTAAAAGTAATGTTCCCATGTAAAGAGTAGAAAGTTGGGATCAAAACTACACTTGATAGACTATTTTACTACAAAACACAGGAACAATGGAGGGGAGATATTATATCTCATGGGTTCTAATATCTTTGTTTTTATCTTCATTTCTTCAAAAAAAATACTTTTCTTACTAATTTCTTCAGTGAATCACAGGTCATGCAGTAGCATCACTTTCCTCGGGAAGCTTTTTGATTTTTGTTTCTTCAGTGACATACTGATCACTCAGCAGCATGTCATTTAACTTCATGTTGTAAATTTATTACTGTTCCTGTTGTTGATTTTGGTTTATGGCTTTTCATTGAAGTATAGTAACTGTGTAATGGAAACTATCATAACCAGTTGTGAAGATCCAATGCAGTATGCATATCTATTTCCAAACCAAAGATGAACTCCCAAAGAAAACTGTTAAATAGGTCTTGACAATAGGATGCTGGACTCTCTGCCATTGTCCATGCATAAAACATAAAGTTACATCTAAATAGCAGGATGGACATTTGACTGCTGGGGAGGGGAAGGAGACTCCCCAGAGCCTATGGAACCACACTGTAAAATTATAATTAAAAAAATGTTTTTGAAAGTAATGTTTCTTTACTATAGTGATATTAGTAATGCTATTTGTTAATTCAGTTCTACTTATCTATAGTATTTCAAATTCACTTATGAATGGCTTTGTGTTATGTGTGTTATTACCTGTCAACCAGGTCAAACATTTTTTAAAAACACATGGGAAATACCAAAAGTTCATAGATCTGACTGGCTGTTACAATTGCTTTCAGATAGCACTTATTTCCTCAGGGAAAACTGCACCATATTAACTGTTTACAAAATCTGAAACAAGAAAATGTGGGGTAAGCACTGTGATGTGGCAGGTAAAGTCTCTGCCTGCAGTGCTGGCATCCCATATGGGTGTCCCCTTCAATGCAGCTCCCTGCTAATGTGCCAGGGAAAGCAGAAGATGGCCCACATGTCTGGACCACCAAACTCATGTGGGAGACACAGAGGAAGCTCCTGGCTTTGGACGAGCCAAACTCTGACCACTGCAACCATCTGGGGAGTAATCAGTGAAAGAAAGCTCAGTCTCTCACCGCCCCCATCTTGCTGTTTCAAATAAATAAATCTGAAATACATACATACATATATATATACATAAGAAATTTATAAAAGAAAATATGCCTTACTGTATCTCATGCTTTGTGTGTGTGATTATTCTCAGTCCTTTCTATTTTCTAGATACATCTTCAACCATAATTTGTTTTTCACTTTACTTGAGGTAATCTTTTCCTCAAATCCATATTTTTAAAACTTTGTAGAGGAATATACAGCTGTATGAAATAAATTATTAAGTCTAGGAAAAAAGGTGTGTTAACTCAGTTACTTACGGTTAAAGAGGTTCTAAAAGTTGTCCTTACACTGGAATATCTAGGAATTTTATTTTTATTAAAATTTCTTTGAAAGGCAGTAAGAGAGAACTTACCTTTCATTTGCTGGTTTACTTCCGAAAAGGTCGGGCAATAGCCAGGGCTGTCCTAGGCCAAAGCCAGAAGCCTGGCACTATATTTGCAGCTCTCATGTGGTGATACAGGCCCGAGCAATGTCTTAGGTACTATGCCACACTGCTCCTCCTTCAACCACCACAAGATTTTAAGGGGCAGCTAAATTCGAGAACTGATGCAGAGTAGCTATTTAGCCCCATGAAAAACTTAAACTTCTTAACCTTACACTCATGTGTTTCTTTTGTAATTTTCTTAGGATGACTAAAATTTGAAAAAGACTAGAACAAACTTATCTCTTATAAAATGAGCAAGAACAAGGTCATTGTCAAGGGAGCATTTCCCCTTGGCTTTGAAATCCTAATTACCTGCCTGCTAGGTCCACAAGGTTGATCTTGCTAGCAATCTCAGAGGGGAGGTTGTTCGCCAGGTTTGCCTAAGATAGAAAACACATTTAAAGCTTGTCAATTGGAACAAATCATATGTTCTTCCTTGGATACTTTCCTAACCAAGGTGATATTTTAAGTTCCTATCCAATTTACTCATGATATCTCTATTCTAATGCACTGTGAGTTCTTAATATCTGATAGACATAACCAGAAAGCCTGGACCAGCATGTCGTTAAAAATACTAGTAGGATTTTAAGTAGGACAATTCCTGATAAGTATTCTAAGAATAATCTACATGGGAACCAGGAAATTTAGTGCAATTTACCAGGCAAATTCTATTCCTCCCATACATTAGCTTGCTAGTGCAGGTACTTTGCCTCTCTATATTCTTTAAGGCAAACACACATTTACTTTTCCCTTACCCAATTAGCGTAGGGATTTTTGTTACTGTTTTGTTTTGTAAAATTTTAATGTTGCCAAGGATGGACATAATTGCCAAGGTGGTACTCTGATACAACATGCAAGCATTTGGCTATGCCACAACATTCATCCCTTACTTAGGCTACTTTGTAATATCACAGTTGTTCAGTCTTAGGGATTCAATTGTGTTTTTCAATAAATTAGGGTAGTTAGAAGTTCTCCACTTTTTTTTAAATTTTTTTAAAGATTTATTTTTATTATTTTTTCATTGGAAAGGCGGATATACAAAGAGGAGAGACAGAGAGGAAGATCTTCCGTCCCATGATTCACTCCCCAAGTGAGTGCAATGGGCCGATACTATGCCGATCCGAAGCCAGGAGCCTCTTCCGGGTCTCCCACGCGGGTGCAGGTTCCCAAAGCTTTGGGCCGTCCTCGACTGCTTTCCCAGGCCACAGGCAGGGAGCTGGAAGGGAAGCGGGGCTGCCGGGATTAGAACCGGCGCCCATATGGGATCCTGGGCGTGCAAGGCGAGGACCTTTAACCACTTGCGCCACTGCGCCGGGCCCTCTCCACTTTTTTTTTTTCTTTCAATCTGGAAATGTTCTGATTTTATCTTTACTTCTGAAAGACAATTTTGGGGCTATTGATGTGGTACAGTAGTTTAAGCCACCACTTGCAGCGTCAGTGTCCAATATCGCAGTAGCAGGCTCAAGTCTTGGGCATTCCACTTCTGACTCAACTTCTGCTGAGGCAGAAGATGACCAGAGTACTTGAGCCCTTGCTACCCAAATGGGAGACTCCGAGGGAGCTCATGGTTTCCGTCTTTGGCTTGGTTCACTGCTGAGATGGTGGCCATCTGAGAAGTAAGCCAGTTCTTTCTGTCTCTTTCCTTCTCTCCAACTTTGCCTTTCAAATAAATAAATATATATTTTAAAAATCTAGTTTTGTTGCATATAAAATTCCTTAACAGTTTCATTTTCTTTCAGAATTCTGTCTTCTGTAGCTAACTGTACCTACTGAGAAACTAGTATTTAATAATGTAACTGTCCTCCTGTATATGATGAGTCTTAAGTATAATTTGTGTAAATGGAGAGGTCCTTGTTTAATTGGAATCCTTGAACTTCTTATTGGAATCCTTGAACTTCTTATCTATAGATTAATAATTTTCAACAAACTTGGGAAAACTCTGGACATTACTTTTCTATTTTTTATATCCTCTTTTGTCTTTCTGGGATTCCCACTACACATATGTTGATGCTGTTTCCACATTTGTGTAGCTCTATTCACTTTTAATATTTTCATCGTCTCTTTTGCAAACCAGATATTTTCTTTTTATTTTTTTTTTTGACACAGAAAGAAAAAGATCTTTTATTAATTGGTTTACTTCACAAATGCCCTAAAAGCCCAGGCCTGCAACAAGTTGAAACCAACAATCAGAAAATTCCACATTAGTATCAGAGTCCCAAGTATCATCTTTCTAAATACACTAGCAAGGTGCTAAATGAAAAACAATGTAATCAGGACTTGAACTGGCACTTTGATATGGGATGCTGGCATCACAAATAGAAGCTTTACACACTAGACCACAACATCAGGCCATTGAACAAGATTCCTATGGAAAAAAAAAAGTAAAGCACATAGAGATGGAAAAACATTTTAAACTAACAGACTATTCAGACTATTCAGGACATCACAAAATGATGGCTAAATAAAAAGACGTGAAAGGTAGAGGCCTAACACTTTTTTTTTAATTACATCTGTTTATTTTTGCTTTATTTTTTTTTGCCTTTCTTTTTAAAAAATTATTATTAATTACATTGTATTATGTGACACAGTTTTATAGGTACTGGGATTCCCCCTGCCCCTCCCCTAACCCTTCCCCCATGGTGGATTCCTCCACCTTGTTGCGTAACCACAGTTCAAATTCAGTTGAGATTCCTTCAATGCAAGCATATACCAAGCACAGAGTCCAGCATCTCATTGTCCAGATAAGTTTAACGGCTTCTTGGGGAGATCTTCTCTGGTCCCCATTCAGCTGGTGGTTGCAATTGCTGGGTTGGCAAACCAGATATTTTCAATGGGTTTGTCTTCCAAGTTAACTAATTCTGCCATCTCAAATATATTAACAGACCCACCAACGATTTTTCATTTCAGTTACCTTAATCTCAATTCTAGAATTTTTGCTTTAAGACTTCCTTTCTTAAAGATTCTCTCTATGGAGTTATTGTGATCAGGCTTTACTTATTTCATTGAAACACAGAGTTACACAGAGAGAAAGAAAAAGTGTGAGTGAGAGAGCAATACTCTATCCACTGGGTTTGTTACCAAATGCCCACAGTGGCCAGGGCTGGGCCAAGCTGAAGCCAGAAGCCTGGAACTCCACCCAGGTCTCCCATGTGAATGCAGGGGCACAAACACGTGTGTGGTTCATCTTCTGCTACTTTCCCAAGTGTTTTAGTAGGGAGCAGGACTGCAAGTGGAGCAATGAGGACCTGAACTGGCATCCAGAAGAGATGCTGGTGTAACAGGCAGCAACTTAATTCTCCGTACTACAATAATGGTGCCTTTTTAATTCTTTCAACATGGTTTCTCTGGCTTGTTTTTTTTTTACATAGATTGTCTTCACTGAAATCTGAGTTTAATCCAATATCTGAGACACTCAAAGTCAATTTTCACATACTTTTTCCCCCTTACAAACGGATCACATGCTCTCTCATTTGGTTTTGTATGTCTAATAATTTTTGATTGAATAGTAAGACATTTAACGAACATAATATATTAACTTGGAATTCTGATTTTTCCTATTGAATGTGGTAGTGGTTTTCACTGTTTGTTCAGTAACTTGTGTAGATAAAAAGTAGTAAGTCTACATTATCCCACAATATGCAGCTGAAGAAGTCCTTTTACAGTTTTTCTTTAGTTGTTTTTAGTTTTAAGCTTAGCGTCCTAGAGGCTGCCCTGTGTTTGCGTATTTAATGTATAACCAAAGATGAGTCAGAAGGCATAATTAAGCACCTTGACCCAGTAAGATTTCCATTCTTTGTTGATGAGTCTGTGTGGGCAAGGAAATGCATTAGAGAATCAAGCTTTTGAGGTTTATCCCAGCATTCACTAGCAATAGCATCTTCTTATGCCTCATCTCTGAAAGATAGGCACATTCTGATGGGTGCTTTACGTGGATTGGAACCAATTAGTGTCTGCTTTGTATGTACACATATCCCAGTATCCAGGATATGTGCGGATCTTGTCAAGGCCATTATGGTTGTATTACATCCCTGAATCCCCTTTTAAACCTGTACATCATCTGCAAGTTTGTGGCTTGTTCAGGCACTGGATCTCCCTATTCCTTTCTCCATTAAGGTCACTGCTTTAATTGACACTGATTTAAATCAAGTAGAACTCTTTAGTAGTGGCAGCAGCTGAGTTGCTGATTTTTCTATCCTTTCCTTCCTGATAGAAACTACTCAAATAGCTGGAGATGCATGTACAGATGGCAGCAATTCAAGGCAACTGCCACTGAGCGTAGTTTCAAAATGAAGGTTTTGCCCACCTTCATAGCTGCTTTGTGGGACAGCATTTGTCAAACTCCTTTCTCCATCAAAATGAAAATGAATTTTCTACTTTCTTCTTTTAATGTGAATTTCAACCTTAATTTTCATTAAAAAATGCCCATAATTGATCACACAGAAGTGAAAGTGATTCAAAATTTAAAAGTACAACATAACTAGAATGTTGATCATTTTTTGCATTGCTTCTACCATTTCTCAAAGCAAGCTTAATAGATTTGTGTGCACATCCTCTTGATAATATTAGATCATAACAGAGAACATATAAGTAGAAGAGCAGGAAGGAATTTGAGAAAGTGGTAAAAGGGACAAGGAGAGAATGAAACCCACCTGTGTGTAGTGGATGGTGAAGATGGCATGGGACCTGCTGCTGGCCTCATGAATGTGCGTAGCTGCTGTGATTCTGTACACAAAGGAAGACAACAAAAGGATTGTTTATGAATGCTGTGTCCTCAAGGATCCAACGCAAACAAGACATGCTAGCTACAGATTTCATATATGACAATCACAAAATATTTCATATTTGATCAGGCACAATGAACAGAAAAGTACAAAGAAGGCAAGAGCAGCACCCTAGGAAGTAGTCTCTCACTAAAGCAAATTGAAGCAGTTTTTAAATCACAGTAAACAGGGGGGATACCAGAGTGTTAAGCCACCTGGAAAACAGCCCAACACAGACCCGCAAATGAAGGTAAAGAGCCTTGAAAGAATTCTGAGAGAAAATCATGATTCAACACAGAACATTGCTCTCAGAATGCCAGGCATCTGGGATGGGATCTTAAATCCCATTAATGGCTTGTCTGAGCCACAGGGAATTCACGGTTTTCTTTAGAAAGCCATTCCAGTGTCATTGTAAAAGGCAGGAGAGTGTTCGCTTTACCTAAATCTGAACCAATCACTCTTCCATTTAAGACCATCTCAGTGACTTCTGTCATTGTAACTGGAGAATTGAAAAACAGGGTCGAAATTCAAAGTCCAGTCTTGTAATTTAAGGATGAAAAGGAAAAGATGGAGCAAGTGCACCTAGGACATCATGATGATATCCCAGGAGAAAAATGTTAAATTTATTTTTTTATGTTCAGTTGCTTGGGACTGCTATTAATAGGGTACACAGAAGATTCCAGACCACTTTCTTTTTCTTCCAGAAATAAAAAAAGCTCTCACCACCCCCAGGGATCTGTTAGTAACACTGAGTATTTCAGGGTAACTAAAAATATGAGACATTATCATAATTTAAAATGGCATTTAGGAGAATTTAGAGCATATATTCATTGAAGTTCAAAACAATATTTTGAGGGTTAATCCAAAAAATAATCATAGCTAGGGCATGAAGCTTAGTGGCTAAAGTCTTCGCCTTGAATGCACCGAGATCCCACATGGGCGCCTGTTCTAATTCCAGATGCAACACTTCCCTTCCAACTCCCTGCTTGTGGCCTGGGAAAGCAGTCGAGGACGGCCCAGAGCCTTGGGACCCTGCACCCACGTGGGAAACCCGGAAGAGCTTCTGGCTCCAGACAGGCGCAGCACCGGCTGTTGCGGCCACTTGCAGAGTGAATCATCAAATGTAAGATATTTCTGTCTCTCTTCCTCTCTATACATCTATATTTATATCTATATCTACAATAAAAATAAATAAATCTTAAAAATACACATAGCTAGAAGAAAAATTGATTTTCTAAAGCAGGTTATGCAATACTTGTTTTTGAATCTGGTGAACGGAGGACAATGCAAGCAAATTTTGTTTCTTTAACTAAAACAGCAGAAAACGTACTTTAAGAAAAAGTACAAGGATAGTATAATTCTCTGGCTTTTACTCTCAGTATTATTATATCCAGAATAAATCCCACTTCTTCAACAGAGAGAAAAGCACCGGCCCACTCCTCTGAGAAGGGCCTCCTAGTGGTAGAGGTAGGATATTGCAGACAATGTGAAGTGTCACATATTCCAAAGAGGAATAGAACACGGATATGAAAACCGGGTTTAAACAAGGATAGGAAAATGTAAACATGTTACCTGTTTGCTATTCCCTCCTCCAAGAGTTGGATTACTTGCTTATAGCTGGTAACCAGATGTTGAGATAAGCCTATAGATTTATGAGATGGGAAGAAGAAATTAAATACATTTAGTTTAGACCTACTCTTCAGGACTTCATCATTCCTATTTCATATCATTTGATAGACAAAAATGAAAGAACTTGGTTAAATTCATTCAGACAATAAATTCAACCAGCAAATATTCATTGGAAGCCCATTACTGAGTATGGTGATGACTCTAGACACGTAGGTCTCTGCCCTCACAGAGACATTGGGATACTGTCCAGAATTCATACATCTACACTGGGAACAATTTTTTACAATTTGCCATACAGCTATAATAAATATTCTCACATATTACCTCATTTGACCCTTTAAACTCCTGGGCAAAGCAGGTGATATTATCCTACAAGATGACATCTAAAATATACTGTGTTGGCCCCGGCACAATAGCATATTAAGATTTATTTATTTATTGGAAAGCCAGATATACAGAAAGGAGGAGAGACAGAGAGGAAGATCTTCCGTCCGATGATTCATTCCCCAAGTGAGCACAACAGCCAATGCTATGCCAATCCAAAGCCAGGATCCAGGAATTTCTTCCAGGTGCGGGGTCTCAAGGCTTTGGGCTGTCCTCTACTGCTTTCCCAGGCCACAAGCAGGGAACTGGATGGGAAGAGGAGCTGCCGGGATTGGAATCGGCGCCCATATGGGATCCCAGCGCATTCAAGGTGAGGATTTTAGCTGCTAGGCCATGCTGCTGGGCCTGCTAGCATAATTGTTAAGGTCCTCGCCTTGAACGTTCCGGGATCCCATATGGGCGCCGGTTCTAACCCCGGCAGCTCCACTTCCCATCCAGCTCTCTGCCTGTGGGCTGGGAAAAGCAGTCGAGGACAGCCTAAAGCCTTAGGATCCTACACCTGTGTGGGAGATCTGGAAAGAAGTTCCTGGATCCTGGCTTTGGATCGGCATAGCTCTGGCCGTTGCAGCCACCTGGGGAGTAAATCATCAGATGGAAGATCTTTCTCTCTGTCTCTCCTCCTCTTTGTACATCTGCCTTTCCAATAAAATTTTAAAATCTTAAAATATATATATATATATAGTACATCTGTCCCCTATCCTGCCACAGCTTATAATGGAGAAGTGATAAAAACAGCCATGTGTCAGAGGAAAAGGGAGATCAGAGGAGGGATCAGAATATGGCACATGCAAGAAGTGACACATGAATTTATCCACCACACCACAAGCAGGTCTTGGATGCAGCGAAGAAGAAAACATTAAAGGCAGGAAAGCAAATATTTACTGCTGGCTATTGTTCATATCACAAAGGGTTTTCACAACTGTGCCAGACAGGACAGGGCACTGAGGCACAGCAAGGGAAGCCCCACCCCACCACCACTCCCACGTGCATCCTCCAGGGGCACCAGTTCCAGTCTAGAGTCTTCCTACTGCACTTCCAGTATAGTTCCCTGCTAAAGTCTGGAAAAGCAATGAAGAAGGACCCAAGCCTTTGGGCCCCTTCCATCCACAAGGAAGACATAGAAAAAGCTCCTGGCTCCTGGCTTCACATTAGCCCAGCTCCTGCCACTGCAGCCATTTAGGGAGTAAACCAGTAGACAGAACTGTTTCTATCCACTCTCTGTGTGTAGCTCTGCCTTTCAGATAAAAAAAATAAATTTTCAGGGGGAAGAAGTAGAGTTGGTACAATGGCTCAACTGGTTAATTACTAGGATGCAAGCAGCTGCAACAGTCAGAGATGAGCTCACCCTCATCTAGGTCTCCCATGTAGGTGCAGTGGCCCAAAGCCCTGGACCATCCTCCACTGCTTTCCCAGGCCAATAGCAGGGGCTGGATTGGAAGTGGAACAGACGGGACTCGAACCAGTGCCCATATGCAACCCATGTGGAATCCTGGTGTTACAAGTAAAGGATTAGCTTGCTAAGCCACAATACTGGCCCCCTGAATGTTTTTACGAAAACTTCACACATTTTTTAAAAAATATTCTTTAAAATAACAACACAGGACCCAGTGTGGTAGTCCTAGACACTAAAGTCTTCACCTTGCACGTGCCAGGATCCCATATGAGTGCCAGTTCATATCCCAGCTGCTTTACTTTCCATCCATTCCCTGTTTGTGGTCTGGAAAAGTGGTACAAAATGGCCCAAAGCCTTGGGAACTTAGACCTGCGTGGGAGACTGGGAAGAAGCTCCTGGCTCCTAGCTGTGCATCAACTCAACTCTGCCCATTGCGGATACTTGGGGAGTGAACCAGCAGATGGGCGATCTTTCTGTATCTCCTTCTCTCTGTAAATCTGACTTTCCATGCCCGGCAGCGTGGCCTAGCAGCTTAAGTCCTCGCCTTGAACGAGCCCGGGATCCCATATGGGCGCCAGTTCTAATCCTGGCAGCTCCACTTCCCATCCAGCTCCCTGCTTCTGGCCTGAGAAAGCAGTTGAGGACGGCCCAAAACCTTGGGACCCTGCACCCGTGTGGGAGACCTGGAAGAAGTTCCTGGATCCTGGCTTTGGATTGGCATAGCATTGGCTGTTGTGCTCACTTGGGGAATGAATCATCGGACGGAAGATCTGCCTCTCTGTCTCTCTTCCTCTCTGTATCTCTGAGTTTCCAATGAATAAATAAATCTTTAAACAAAAACAAAAAAATTTGACTTTCCAATGAAAATAAATAAAACTTTTAAAAGAATTATCTGTAGATGACCTAAAATCTGGAGTTTGCCTCAAAGTATTATAGGATGAGGCAAAGTGGACAAGAAGTCTTTTTATTTTTTATTTGAACTCTTTTTTGCTGGATTCATTAAACCCTTAACTAAAGTATAAATAAAATTATCCCTGAAAGATAAATAAGTTGAAGAAAAAAAGAATGTATATATACAGCATCAGCCAAGTCTTAACTATTATTGTGACTGGATGACAGATACTTGAAGATTCCTTATACAGTCTATTTGTGGCATTTCAAAAATTCTCCATAAAGAGTTATACAAATTTAACCAAGGATGGAGACTTCCACTTTTGATTATAGCAAATGAGATAATACAGACCAACCATTTGCTTAAACACTACTTTTTTAAAAGCAAGCAAACTAGGAAAAACAAGAAAGATATCTGCTTAAAGGCAGAAGGACATAACCAGGTAGCAAAACTGTCCAGGCCACATGTTGGGAAAACACAAAGGCCCAAAGAGAAAAGGCCCACAACCGCCAAACACTGAGAATTCACCAGATCTTGGTGGGAAGCAGCTTTCTCAGCATAGTTCCAAGGATGAGAAGCCAAAGATTTTAGTCCTGAGCCTACCCAGAATAAGTCCTTTGGAACTTCACCACCCGCCCCCCGCCAAGATTTATTTATTTTTATTGGAAAGGCAGATTTACAGAGAGCAGGAGAGACAGAAAGATCATCCATCTGCTGGTTCACTCCCAAATGGGTGCAAAGGCTATAGCTGAGCCAATCCAAAGCCATGAGCTGCTTCTAGGTCCCCATGTGGGCACAGGGTCCCAAGACTTTGGGCCATCCTCCACTGCTTTCCCAGACCATCACAGGACACTGGATGGGAAGCGGAGTAGCTAGGACATGAACTGGCACCCACGTGGAATGCTGGTATTTGCAAGGTGGAAGATTAGTCAGCTGAGCCAATGTACTGGCTCCAACCCTATTTCTTTGGGTTGGAAACTCACATAGCTACAGTGCAAGAGTAAGTGGAGTTTGAATGAAACAAGCTTTTGATGGGACTTCAGCTCTGCTCTGAATATCCTCAAACCTTAAATTGAACTGAATGATTCTGGATCACTCACGTGTACAGGAACCTCGTAGAGTAAAAGTTACAGAATTCAAGGAAATGGTCTAAAAATCTGTAACTGGAATTCCAAAGACAGAAGAGTGAATGTAATGAAATCAGTATTAGAAACTGCAATGACTATTCACTTTCTTTGAAAAATATTTATTTTTATTTGGAAGACTAACTTACATAGAGGGGAGAGAGAGAGAGAGAGAGAGAGAGAGAGAATCATCCATCTGCTAGTTCACTCTCCAATGGCTGCAACAGCTAGAGATGAAATTATCCAAAGCAAGAATCCAGGAGTTTCTCCCAGGTCTGCCACATGGTTGCAGGGATCCAAGGACTTGAGACATCCTCCCTCGCTTTCCCAGGTCATTAGCAAGGGGCTGGATAGGAAGTAGAGCAGACAGGACTAGAACCAATGCCCATACAAGATTACTGACTTGCAGAACACTACACTGGCCCTGGCTATTGACTTTATAAAACAGATAAAAAGATACAAAATCACAGGGTTGATGAGTTCAGCATGACTTGGGAGGAAAAAAAAAACAAATTTACCCCTAGATATGAGATAGTGTTGAAAACCAAACAGAAATAAAAAATCTTAAAATGGATTGGCAAAAACATTATTAAAAGTAGGGGTATTAAAAAAAATCTGAGGGCCCGGCACGGTGGCACAAATGGTTAAAAGGTCCTTGCCTTGCACGCCCGGGATCCCATATGGGCACCGGTTCTAATCCCGGCAGCCCCGCTTCCCTTCCAGCTCCCTGCCTGTGGCCCGGGAAGGCAGTCGAGGACAGCCCAAAGCTTTGGGAACCTGCACCCACGTGGGAGACCCAGAAGAGGCTCCTGGCTTCAGATCGGCATAGTATCGGCCCGTTGCACTCACTTGGGGAGTGAATCATTGGACAGAAGATCTTCCTCTCTGTATATCTGCCTTTCCAATAAAAAAAATAATAAAAATAAATCTTTAAAAAAAATCTGAGGCAAATGAAATTAAAAGGTAATTTCTTTGTGTAAAAAAAGTTTTTAGGATCTGGCATGGTAGCCTAGTGCTGAGGTCTTCACCTTGCATCCACTGGGATCCCATATGGGCACTGGGTCTAATCACAACAGCCCTGCTTCCCATCCAGTTCCCTGCTTGTAGCCTGGGAAAGCAGTTGAGGACAGCTCAAAGTCTTGGAACCCTGCACCCACATGGGAGACATGGAAGAGGCTCCTGACTCCGGTCTCCTGGCTTTGAATCTGCTCACTTCTGGT